CTGTTCATAGTTATAATCATTACCAGACGAACCATCCAGTCCTCGACTAATAACAATTACATCAATTACCATTGGATCCATCAGATTCCTATGCCAAGACTGCAACTTTTCCAGAGCTGCAGGACGGTCCCCTAACGCTAAATTGAACCATTTATCAGTCTTTTTAGGTTTCGAATTAGACAACAAGTCCCCACTATGATCTTGGGTTTTAAGCGACGGAATCCTGGATTCTAGAATAACTTGCAAGGCCTTCAGAAGAAATTGGGAGATAATCTGCTCCAATCTTCCATGCTCCGACGAAGAACTCACTTGGAAATCCATGATTTTCAGAATCTGCAAGGGTTGTTTTGGGTGTAACACAATGCAATATACCGCCCTTCAGCTCAATGAACTCAACCACGATAACAAAGCACCAAATAATACTGTAACCTAAGCAATCGAATCCCACAATACGAATCCTAAAAATTTCGAGATTCTGATCATCAAACTCAGACCAAAATGCAATTAGAGCCCCAATTTTGCCACGAAAGGGAGGACCAAAACACATCCGAAATCAATTTTTGCGCCCCGAAAAACAATTGGGGATTACTAAATCACTCCAAGGAACAACTTTACCAGGAGTATTAACATCAAATAGCAAAATCAATTGCTACCCAAAAAACCCCAGAATAATTAGTGAACTTGATTAAGAAATTTCATGAAAATTTTGAGATGGGCATGAACAATCTTCAGCAGAAATCACATAACAAGTTGACTAAATGCATCAAAAACCCTGATCAACCATAAATCAACAAACAAAAAAAATAAAAAAAATCATGAATTCCAAATTAACAAGAACATGGGCAAGGTCAGTTTCAATTCAATCAAATAAAACAACATTAAACCAACTCAATAAAACAACAAATTAACAAGCGATTAAGAAAGAACTTACTTGAATTTTGGGGGAATTAGTCAGAAAGAAGACGTGAATTAATAGAAATGATTGCGTGAAGAGTGTATTTTAAAAAAGGGAAATTAATAATTATTAGAGATTCTAAAAAATGGGAAGTGGAATTCTGGGAAATCAAGAAAACGGGTTGTTGGCAAAATGCACAAGTATGTAGAGATGAGTGGAAGTCATAGAAGAAGAGTCTGATCTATGAAATGAGGTCTGAGAATAAATAAAAGAGTAAACAATGTATGATTGGGTTTGGATTGGAAGCGATTATTTTTGACGTAATAATAATGTGTTTGAAAAACCAAAGTAGCGCCTGAGTATGGTTATCAACAATTACTATGGGTGCGTTCTTCTCACTTGAAATTACTCCGTATCTTAATGCTCAAAGTAATTTATCTCATAGTATTTATAATTGTGAATCGAATTTGAATTGACTTGTTATTTGCTTTAATTCAGGCTTTGTTCGGTTTAAATTATATCAGTATAACTTATTTTAGAAATGATCAAATATACCCGATCATAATTTTTATTTGTATTTTCTCCTTAAATAAAAGCTCTTGTACATATATGTTCAAAGTTTAATCAAATTAAGAAATTAGATCAGATCAAACTGAACATAGTCTTATGCTTTGAAATTTGTTATTCTCATTGTAGGTAAATATAAAAACTTAAATAATTATTGTGGACCCGGTATTATCACGTGACTCTAACTTTCTCTCCAACATCTTACTACTGCTTCCTGTCTTCCTCTATTCCCACCCAAAACGCATGCTTTTGATTTCTTTTCCCACTTTCTCTCTCTTCCGACCTCCGTTCTCCCATTTTCTCTCTCTACAAAATCAACACCGATTTTTCTGTAAAATTGCTCGAATTATTCTTCAATGGCAAGAACTAGAGGTGGTGGTACAGTTCAACCGAGAAGAGGCCTTCGTTCTTCAGCTACTTGACCACTTTCTGGTATAATTGTTGTTTATCATTTGATTTCTGCAATTTTGAGGTTATTCATTGTTGTTTTTCTTTAATTTATACTGTTTGTGTGATTTTTGTTTCGTATTGAAGATTATTGAAGATCTAGGGTTTTTCGATTTTTTTCATGATTTGTACTGTATTTCTGCAATTTTGAGGTTATTCATTGTTGTTTTTCTTTAATTTAAACTATTTGCATGATTTTTGTTTGAATTTTGGTTCGTATTGAAGATTATTGAAGATCTAGGGTTTTTCGATTTTTTTTCATGGACTTGCACTGTATTTCTGCAATTTTGAGGTTATTCATTGTTGTTTTTTCTTTAATTTAAACTATTTGCATGATTTTTGTTTGAATTTTGATTCGTATTGAAGATTATTGAAGATCTAGGGTTTTTCGATTTTTTTTTTTCATGATTTGTACTGTTTTTTTCGATTTTTCGAAGGTAATGCTTCAGATATTGTGTTTATATTATGGTACATACAAAAAAAGGGTTAATTAATTTAGTGATCAAATGGAGCATCATGTCAAAGGCAGTGTAACATCAGGTTTTTTTCTGTTTTTTTTTTCTTTTTTTCCCTTTCTTTTAGTTTGACATAAAAGAGAGCTGTTGAATAATGTTAATTCAATGTGCGTAGCTCTTTGCTCAACTCAATTTTATGTATAGTAATGATTTGAATAGAGAAGGCGGGATTCATATTAACGTATTCTGGAAGTGGTGGTTTGCTTGAGGGCTTGTTTTCAGCTTTCTGTATAGTTATTTAATCGCACAATTTCATACATATACTACAATTTAGTCAAAAATGATGATTTTCTGAAATCTGGATTTTGCCTTTTTCCAATGATGTTTATATATGCATTGCTAATAATTATTTAGTTAAGTAACTTCAAGCACCACAAAGTATATGTGTTTGTGTCAATTCATGTTTCGCTGGGTGTAACTTCTTGTTGATGAATTTGGCCAATTAATTGGTGATTGTTCTAGTGTAGTTTGAGGTGCTATGAGAACTCTTTGTAGATTTTGTTTGATCATTTGTGTCATATCTTTTGAGCTCTATTACTCTTTGTTCCGAGAGAGCAAGATCCTTTTCTAGGCAAAAGCATTGTTAATTTGTGATTATTAGTGATGGAGTCTGTTAGTTTGGTAGTCTAACCTGCATAAGCTTCTTGACCCATTCTTTTTGGCAGTGGTTATGAAAGCCAAGTACGGTATACTTTGAATTCCTGAGGTATCTATATAGCAAGAAGATATGGTAACCAAACATCATGAATAGCCCTGCTGGTACAAGGATTACATCTAGCTTCTCCTTTTGCCACTTCATTTGTTCTCTTAATCTCGATCTCGAGTTCTTTTCTAATGAAATCCCTCTTAGTTCTCTTTTTATATATTTAAATAGAGTATAAGCAGCAGAGAAGTAACAGTGAAGGTTTAGTTGAAATTACTGCTATATAGGTTGATGTTTAATCTTGCATAAGTTGGATTTTCTAATTTTAGTAAAAAAAAAAATATGGTCATGCAGAACATTACTTGCCAGAAAATTGATCCGTATGGAGCATTGGTGCCTTGGTTTCTCTGAGGTGAAAGACTTGATTCAGAAGGAATTGGATGTGCAGATTCAAGGTTCAACCATGTTATCAATGATATGGTTACCTCTATTTGTATATAGTTATCAATGATATAGTTTCCTTATTTTTATATAAGTCTTAGAAAATGTTAGTTTTGTTGTGGTTGGAAAATGACTTGTTTAACATTGTTTTTTTTTAAAAAAAAAAAATAAATCATTTTATCTCTTTGTCTTTGGATTATCAACAAGGTAATATAGGTTAAGTAATCAATTAGTTCCTTAAAAACTTGCTAAAGTTGTTATTATTAGATTTCCATGTAAAACAAATACTTTAAAATGGGGGACTTACAAGCTTAAGAACAAGGTCATTTACCTAATTTGTGTTGAAATACATAAAGGTTTTACAAGAAGTGGGAAGGAGTGTCATTGTCTTGTCGTTATAAATTCCATCTATTACAAATTCTTTTTTTTTTTCTTGGAAGAAATATTTTTGGTTTGAGAAATTCGTTTTTCGGTTTGGGAGAACAAATGAAATAAAAAAAAAAAAGGGAGATGTCCAATCTATTTTTACCTGGAAATAGAGAAATCTAGAAAAACAAAAGGGAAGTAGATTCCCTATTCAACTTTGTGATGGGGAAGAAAAAAGAAAAGAGGAAATAAACAAGTCCATAAAACAATCTACATACTAGGGGGTGAACTCAATAGAATCACCCAATACTTTATACAAAAACTTTTGTATACATCCGGTTTACACTAATATTAGAGTACATCGAGCAGTACAAGGGTAACTTTTAGCTAATTTTAGGGTAACTTTTTGCCTGTTTTTGGGTAACTTTAAACATATTACAATTTTTATATAAAAAGACAACAAGAAAAGTTTTATAAAGGTAATTTAATTACATTCAATCATTAATAATTGATTTTTAGTCATTTAAAATGTGATTTTTTACGAATAAAGTGTAGATAATTTTTATTTGAATTGAGTTACTTTTACGCATATAGGGGTAACTTTTATTCATTTTAGAAGAAACTTTTAATCACTTTAAGCTATCTTTATAATGGATGTACAATAATTATTGTACACCCGATTTTTGTAAAAGTTTGTGTACTTTATAATCTTTAAATGACAATACAAATTAAGAAAAGAAATAGATTAGGAAATATTAACAATTGTACAAAAAAAAGGGCACAAAAAAAGATGGTAAACATATGAAACTATAGAAAAACACTCTACATTGTAGTTGATACTAGAAGTGTCAAAACCACACTCGGCCCGACCCAAAACCGATTTGAAAAAATATCCGATTCAGATTTGGACTTGCGTGGACACAATAATTTAGCGTGACTCAACTTTAAAATTTGGCCCGACGACCCGACCCAACCTCATCAGATCCGATCCGATCCAATCATCTGAATTGACATCTCTAGTTGATACTAACCCTACATGGACAAGGACTGACAATGAACTAGTGAACATCCTATTCATTATTGAGCACACTTCTTTGTAATTGTTCTATAAGATAACAAGACACTTACTTAACCATGTCTACACGTGATCCGCCACTACATAAAGTTATTGATTATCTGACTAATATACATCATGAATTCCTATCATTAATCCCAAATTTTATTTATTTTTTTAAAACTTTCTAGCTAATCTAATTTTGTAATTTTTTTTTTTTTTTTTATAGAAATCTAATTTTGTAATTTGTCATACTACTTTCAAATTTTCATAGAAAAAGGGTCTTTCACTCTTTTGTGAACCCAAAAAATAAAATTAAAAATAAAACACATTCAAATATAAAACCCTTTTTTGTCGTTCTGCTTTCTACAATTCCACCGTCCCTGTTTGCAGCAACTACACTTTTCAAATTCAAGGTTCATCACTTCATCCCAAAACTTAAGTTGCTCCCATTTTCCAGAATCATACTTTCTGGTGAATTTACATAATCAATTTTTTTTTTTTTTTTTTTTTTTTTTTTTTTTTTTTTTTTTTTTTTTTTTTTTTTTTTTAAAATGCTTTATTATCTATTAATTTTCTTTTTTTTCTTTTTCTTTTTGTAGGAGAAGCAAATACAGCGAAAATGAATTATTCTTGCTGCCCCATTTGTGAAAATCCGATACCCATTAACGAAATTGAATGGTATGATTTATTTCTGATTTTATTTGTACAGTAATCTTTCTTTCTGGATTTAATTGTCTTATTGTTAGTTTAAATTACACTATCAACGCGACTAATAATTTCGGATAAAGGGAGTATATTTCTTCCGTATTTGAATGTTGTTTGGTAGACTTTGATTTTGTGGGTGTTAAATTTAGTGAAATTTGAAGTGAGAATGAATATGGTGCAGGCATGTGAACAATCACTTGGAGGATGATGAATTTGCCAAGGATATGGAATTAGCTCAGCAAATTGCACTTGCTCCTCCAAGCCCACCTCAAATTGTGGGTATTTTTGTACTTTTAATCAACTGTGTTGTTTTAGTTGCTATCTGTGTTGTTTGATTCATGTAAACTAAGTAGTTCGGTAGAAAATTGAGTTGAATATGTTGGGAAATACACGGATTTGACTGGCGGGATTGCTTTCATGGGCATGGTTCTTATGAGATGGAAGGAAAGGGGTGTGCATATGTTTCGCTGAAACCTTGTTGCGAAATTAATAGTATCTGAATTATTGGTGACATGAGCATATTAGGCCGGTTTTTCTCTTTCGTTGGGTTGAAGATATTGATTGTTTTATATACCTACAATAATGTCATGGTTGGTCTCTTACAATAAAAATTCAGTTCTCTTGATAATTGATATAGTCTTTACTTGAAAGTTGAAATACATTTAGGGACGGTTTGGTATGAACATTTAGGGGTGGAAAGAAACAATTAATAGGGAAGAAGTGAATCATTAAACTTTACTTTTTCAGTTGTTTGTATTAGTCGAAAGAGGTGAGATCTAAAATTAGAAAGAGTTAACTTATAGAAAGGCTAAATAAATGGCCAATTTGAAGAGCTGCTCCTTAAGGACCAAACAAATTCCTAATTGGAATTGGTATCACCTCGTCTTTCGAGTTCCTGGAGAATATGGCGAATGAGGTCATGATTGACCCCTAACCCCGGGATCTTCCTAATTTCGTGTGTAAGGGGTTATTTCTTGGTCACGCTTGTGCTGAACATTACTATACAACCCAAGAACAAGCTTGTAGGAGATTGGGAGTGTGCATCTTTATGTTCGGTGTTCTTCTGTTGTGCTAAATTGCTAATGGGAAGGAATTTCCTAAACTTATGTGTTTGAGGAGGGTTATGGCAATTGATACCATAGGCTGTACAGCAGTTACAACTCTGTGGAAACCATTACCCCAAGTAAAGGTAATTGTTACCTAAACCATCTAACCAAACACTCCGTAATGGTAATTGTTTATTCAATCCGTTTCTAGATATATTAAATATCCTTAACAAACATGCTCTTAGTGACTTGGTAAGTGTGTAGGACTGTAGGAGTTGGAGATGCAGCAAAATAGAGTTGTGGTTTAAACATAACGGGAATATGCTTCAAGGAGCTGTTAAATAACAATAGGGCCGACATAAGCTTCATCATTAGAATAGTCTACTTTAGGAAATCATTTCAAAATTAATGCCATACTTACTTTGGTATAATGATTGAATGAACTTATTTAAGGTAGTTTTTTTGAATATTGAATGGCCTCATATGTTTATCATAATTCCCTAAGTTTTCGAAGGATGTATTTGCCACTGTCACCTTTCCGATCCTTAAAGAAAAAGAAGAAAAGGTGGCAGGTATATATCACATGAACTGATTTAACTTCATTCTGAATGTGTTGTCTTAATGGTGCTAATACTTGTCTGCAAGATGATACTAATTTTAGATGGATTTGCAGGATAGAAGCTTCTGTTTGGATTTTGATTATGAGTCGGTATTTGAAGAGTTTCCAGAGAGTAGTACATCTAGGGATCTAAGGAGTGGAAGTAGAAATAATGAACCAAAAGATATTGATGAACAGATTTGTTGTATCATAAACTTACAGAGTAAGGCAATCTTTTATAAGGTTGAATCAGGACTAGTGACCTTACTAAAAAATTGCTTGGAACTTGAAAGCTCTACAAGTATACTCTCAGGTTATGTCGATCATTTTCAAAGCACTAGATCAGAGGATATGGGATGGGGTTGTGGGTGGCGTAATATACAAATGGTTAGCTCGCATTTACTTATGGAAAGACCAGAAGCAAGAAAGGTTTTGTTTGGAGGTTCAGGGTATGTGCCAGAAATTAGTTCACTTCAAAGATGGCTTGAAGTTGCCTGGCAGAGGGGTTTTGACGTTGCTGGCTCACAATTTTTCAAGGGGAAAATTTATGGATCAAAGAAATGGATTGGGACAACAGAGTGTGCGGCACTCTTATGTTTTTTTGGTCTTCGTGCAAAGATAGTTGACTTTGATAGCAAGGGTAATAAGGGAGATGCAGGGCGAGTTCAAGGACCTATAGATAAATTTGTTGTCAGAAGGGACATTGAAACTAAGGAAAGTCCTGCTAAGTTTGGTGATGGCTCTACACAGAATAGTAAGGGCTATCAAGCTTTGATTGATTGGGTTTGGAGTTACTTTTCTGAACACAAGCCAAAGATATCACAAAGATGTGGGGTGGTTGTTACAAATAAGATGTAAGTGTCCTGTTTGATTATCTGTTCGTGTTGCTTACGAAATGATCAATGCTTCATTCTATGACCTCCATCTAGCTCTGCTCTTATATTTCGTTTCTGCATTATTCATGTCTTTGATTAATTTGTGTGCTACTTTGAACAGGCCATTATATTTTCAACATCAGGGCCATTCAAGGACCATCATTGGGATTCAAGCCAAGCATCAAAATAATGGACAGCAACAGTACAACTTATTGGTATTAGATCCTGCTCATGTAAGTATAATCCTTTATTTTTGAGCTTTTGCAATCTTTTTGTCTGCATTTTGTGGCTTGCTTGTGCTGTTTTATGTTCACAAGTCCCATTTCAGCACCAGGCTTGTGCCCTTGCTGCTAAATGGCAAAAGCACACCACACGATCTGGTGTCAAAACACTTGGGCCTTGACATTTGGTAACGTGACACTCTCTCCCGAACGCGAAATTGAGCTTGTAATATATCGTTGGAAAGATACGGAAGTCTACTTTCATATACAATTGAAATCATATAGACTTCATTTATAGATTTATGATATGACTCAAAGAGTGAGAAGGTGTCTATTATCAGTTCAGCTTTAGTGTTACGCTTAAATTTCATACAATTATGTTTAAAAAGTATTTTGGCTTTTTAAAGGGCTATCCAACTGTTTAAGTTTCATAGAAAAATCCAAAGGTTTGTAAATCAACTGCCACAACTGGGTTTGGTTTTGGGTTAAGGAATAAGGAAATTGGGCCAACAAAGCAAACTGAGCTAAGGTTTAATGACCAGAAAATTGGGATAACTAAGCTAGGAAAATGGAATGTAGCATTTCTCTTTCTCTAGCATTTAATCGGGTCAAATAAGCAATAATACAATTTAATCATCAAACTTATAAATTGGGGAGACACGATCTAAGTGTCTACAGATATGTGTTTGGGTCTTTGTTAGTGTGAACTATGGAAGGGATCAAGAAGCTTGCTTTTTTCTACTCTTTCTATGTAAATGACAAGCTCTTGCCCCACTTGGGCTATCAATAAAGTTTTAACCTGATGTTTATTTCCCATTATCCCCTTTGCTTATTGAAGAGCTTTTTTAGGGATTGGAATAGACAAGGGTAACTTCATGCATGTGCTGGCTTGATTGGTTGCGGACCTGCCATCCACTTTTTGGTCCACTTTCAACTATGTTCGGGATTTATGAGGCTCTCCAATTGTGGATGTTCAATCTATTACTTTATTGACTCAATCTTTGCCATTTCTTTTCCTCAACTTACGGGATGTTTCTCCCAGCTATCTTCATTTTCTGCATACTTCATGGCCTAAGTACAACTGCACAACTGGTCTTTTCTGTTACTTATCTGGCTTGATGAACTTTAATTTAAATCGGAAATCTTTCTTCTTCCTTTCTACTCCAATTCCTCTAAATCACTTTTAGGACACTGGCTTTTACACAAATGGGAAAAAAAAAATACAAGACCTGTATTCCTTTCCTTACAAATTTCCCTTTATAATTACATTGGTTTTTGTTTATTCTGTGTGATATATGTTTGTACTCTTTCATTAGATTTCTAAATTTGCTTAAATACATTGTTTACCATGTGATTTTTATGTTACAAAATGCAAATGTTTGCAGAAAACAGAGGCTTTGGAGAGGTCGTTGAAAGAAAATTGTGGATGGCAAAAATTTCTGAAAAGAGGTCTTCATACTTTGAGGAAGCCTCAGTATCAGGTACAAGCAAATCAAGAGCTGCTTTGTTTGAGTTGTCCATTTAATCTATCAGTTGATGTAGTCTTTTTTTTTTTTCCCTCAGCTGTGCTATGTTGATCCTGGAATTGCACGGGCAGAGGAGATTGAGCAGCTGAAGAATTTGACCAGTGTTCTCATCAAATGCTAGATGGAATCGTGTTCTGTGTGCCTATTACAGGTTTCTGCCTTCTTCCCCCCCTCCCCCTTGTCTCTCCCTCTCTCGATGGGGTTTCTTATAGAAAGATTCATCTATTAAGCTGATTAGAATTCATATGCTGTCAACCTGCTTTCTTCCACTTGCAGCTAGATTTAGTTTAAACAAAACCTTGAGGGCATTTCAGCAATTGAGAAGGCTGATAAAACAACACTTACACTTTTTCTTCTGCGTACCTTGAAAGCTTTTCTGGAAATACTGAAATCCTTTGTTAGAAAGGCGTGGTGTCTAATCCTCATCTCATTCTCTATTACGGAAATATGGAGCTGTTCCTTAATGGCATAGGCTTGTTGGTTCAAAAAGGGAGTTTACTCTGCTTATTTGATGGGTTATGTTACGGGCAAGTTTGCTTATTTCAAGAGGAGAATGCAATAGAACTATAGAAGTTGCTTTGAAGGCGCAGAATCATGGCTGTTATTTGGGTTCTATGTCTTTTGTAAAGGCTCATGGGGTCTAGGTGTTGATGCTTACTCTGGAATATGTGCTTATATCTGATCTGTAGCATTAGGTGCCTTTCCCCAACATATTTGCTTTCAGCACGGTCAGCTGAATTGACATGCTCTCTCTCTCTCTCTTTCTTTTCTTTTAAAGGGAAAGATGCCTTGTTTTCCATTGTATTGTCCTGTGGTTACCACATTTCATTAATATAAAATTCTTTGCTGAAAAACAAAGTGAAGATGTTAAGCCTTTAAATGCGATTCCTCCATAGCATACTCAGCATCGAGATATACTCTTCTTAATTTTTTATCAACTAATGTCAAGTGAAATGTAATGGACCATAAAGAAAGCCACAGATCTGCTAACAATTTTACCCTTGGGATTTTAGCTGCTGAATAAATTTTGCTAAACATATTCTGGAAACTTGTTTCTTTGGTTGGGGTAGGGGGATTCATTTAGTCGTTGAATACTGTGCAGATAAAGATATAGCATACAGTATAATTTCTATGGGATGATCCTCTATACACACATAAATTTATATAAAGGTTATAATTGAAAACTGGGAAAGAGATGAACAAAGATTATGGAAACAGGGTCTGACGTTATTGTGCTAAGAAAGGCATTATGGTGAATGGGGTGCTTTCTTTAAAGCATAGCTTCTGGACGAAAACTCAGTGTTTGCTGCTTACTCTGAAGTCTCCCTAACAAGCCTCAGATTTGATGTAAGGAATATTCTATATGATGTTGATGTCCTTTTCTTCTGCTGTAATTTCATGTTGCTTGCTGCTAAATGACTCTGGCATATCCAAAACCTCCAGTTCTTGCAGGTTGATGTACCTTAGCCCTTTTGGAAGCTCTGACAACTTCCGACAACTAAATATTGACAGTCTCTTCAAATGTGGCATTGCACCGGCTTCGATTCTCCATTCCACCAAGTTTGGCAGGTGTGAGATTTGAAGCTCCTCGAGTTTCAGGAACATATTTGAACTGCAATTCCATCGAGTCCCCTTGTAGGAATTCCATAGATGAAGAATTTTTAAGAGAGGAAGGTGCCCCAGCTTTTCTGTTGGATCGTACTTTTCTAGATGGGAGAAATACAGTTCCAACTTGACTAGTGATGGTAAGAGTGTGAAGTTATATTCCTCTTTCAGTCTTCCAATGAATGCAAGCTTGTGTAGGTGTTGAAAGCTGTCAAGGTTATCAGGAAAAAGCAGCTTATCTTGTCTTGCCTTATGCCAATCCAATTTCAGTACCTGAAGCTTTTTGGGGCCTTTGTGCTCTAGGTTTAGCCAATTTACCACTGCCTCTAATTCTTCAGTGCATGAAATATTTACTATCCCCAGCTTTACTAGACACGCACTTAGTTTACCTAAGTCAGCTACTAGCCAATCACCTCCGCTGACACCCCATAAAATCTGCAAGTTCTGTAAAGTGCTGAGATTTAATTTCTTCATAGATGAAAGTGCATACTGTGGTAGATATACGTGTCGAAGTTTTGTCATATTCCCCAGAACATTGGGCAGTTGTTTACAAACACTAGGCTTTAAAGTACCGACGTAATCTAGGGTTATCAATTGTTGTAAATTCCCAATGGTTTCTGGAAGCTCTAATACCCCAGTGGCCCTTAATCCTAGGTAGGTCAAGAATACCAGTTCCCCAACATGTTCTGGAAGAGCTCTGATTCTGCTCCCACAAAGAATCAGCACTCTTAGTAGCTTGAACTGCTTGTGTATTGGCTCCAAGTTAGTAAACAGAGCATCATGCTGAAAATAATAATCCTTGGCTGATAATCCATGTTTGCCGAATTGAACTAAAGTTCGAAGTTTCGAACTCTGTGTTGGAAATTCATTGAATTTCCTGCAAAAATAATAAGTTTATGACTGATAATTTGCTCTCATGGTGTTAAAAAATGCAATAAACATATCTCAATTTATTTTTGATTTAAAAGTGGTCATGCTGAGTCTTTTTCGTTAGAGGAATCTGAACTGACATGTGATTTGGTGTTGTTTAATCATTTTGGATACTACCTCTGTTAATTTTTAGTTGCATCAAAGAAGTTTTTTTTGTGAGATATTAAAAGTTCCTTTGCAACTAAAAATTAACGGAGGTGGTATCCAAAAATAGAAATTAGTTAAGCAGGACAGTCCTAGTGGGAAAATTTTATGTGTATTTTTTTTAGATAAGAAAAAAGTATATTAAAACGGTACAAGTAATAGTGAGAGTCCCTTTGAGGACTAGATTCTACCTGTCATAATACAGAGACAGAAATCATATATTTAGTCATTTAGAGCTTTAGAACTTGTCTTTTTAAAGTAAAAGAAGCAACTCATACCCAGGATGTATTGCGACCCTTCGTAGCAGCATTTCTCTGATTTCAGGAACGTCACCCCTGGAATGGGTGGCAGCCTGAAGCAGAGGCTTGTGTTGTGCGTGGGGATAATTTTCAAGAAATCCTAACTCTGTTGATTTTGTGATGGAAACTTGATGAATCTTGTTGTGCAGAAGGACAGTCTTCATTTCTCCAACATGATTTCTCCTCATGACTTGAATGAGGCACCTGCAAGCTAATTCCTCCAGGTACTGTGCTGCAACATTTTCTAAAGTCTGTTCTGTACCAGGTGGAGAATCTAACGTTATCAGATCTTCAGATAGCCACATCCTAATCAATATTCCAGTCGAAATCTCAGAATGTTGTGGAAAGAGGCCGAAGTAAAGGAAGCATGGCTTTATGTCACTAGGAATATCATGATAACTTAACAATAATATGTTCTCTAGCGCCTGATTTGACTGTGTCTTTGATCCTAAGGAAGTATTCACAGTTTTCCGTTCTTCAACAGTTTCTTTGGTGCTTAAAAGCCCTCCCAATGCAACTACAGCCAAAGGTATGCCATTACAATGTTCTAGCATTTTACCTATATTGATCATATCTCCATTTGATATTTTATTGAATTGATCAATTACCTGCTCTATCCTTTGTCTACTTTTTGCGTGATTGATAGCTATGCTGCAAAGTAAGTCCCAACTTTCTTTTTCAGGCAGAGGTTGCATCTCATACAAGAAGTATTTGAAATTGGAGTGCTGAAAGATTCGAGGATTACCAACGGTGATTATTATCTTACTTTGGAGGAAGCTTCTGTGAATTTTGGTACGACTTTGAGCTGCAACCAATTCACATATCAAGTCTTCTGCGTCACCCATGTCATTTAGAACAAGCAGGTACCTTTTTTCCTCTAGAGCACTAATCAGTACACCTGCCAGTTTCTTTGTGCTAGATTCTTTTATGTTAGCATTGTTCCCCATGGTTCTATCAATGATCTGACGCAATGCAGCTTTAGCATTCTTCCCCTTGGGTATAGTAATCCAAAACCTGTCCTCAAAATGTTGTTTGACAATGGAATGATCATACAATTCTCTAGCTAGGTCTTTGTTGCCACCAGAACCATCCAAAACTCTGATGGAAAACAATCCTGCTTGTTCTTCTCCCCCTGTTAATTTTCTAAATAGATAATCAGCATCCAGGAGGTCATCTTCAGTTATGAGCTCTTCATTCTGTTGAAGCTCTGTTGATATATGGTTGGCGATGATAATTACCTTGCTTATGTGATTTTTGTCCTCGAGTATAGGATGCAAAAGACACTCTAGACTGCCTTTTGCACTTGGTGAAGAACAATCAGGCTAATCTTTTTCTCAGGGGACTCCTTAAGCTTTTTAACTGATACATTGTCTGGACTCTCACTCCTATCCCTGGAATTCGTCGTTACTTTTCGTAAGATGTCAGGCAGAATGTGTCTGATATCCCTGTCGTCCTCTATTGTTACCCATTCCCTAATATCAAAGTGTTCTTTCACTCTTGAATCATTATAAAGACTCTCAAGGAGAAAGACAGTGGCTGGATTTGCACGCATGTAAAAGATACCTGATTCATGGGTCTTTTTCGTAGCTAACCTTTCTGCCAGAGAATCTGCATTCTCAGATGAGCTGATAGTATACTCCAAGTGCTTGTAGGGATTACTGGGGGTGGCTTGAGTTGTAATTACTAATTTGCTTTTGTAACTCAAGTGCTGGATCATGGGAAACAAATGGTAGGCGAGATTATCTGGATCCTCCACATCATCTAGAATGATCAGATATGGCCTCTCTTCTAGGATACTCCATATCTTATTCGCCAACATGTCTGTGAGCATGCTGCTGTTTACAGCTTCATCTTTCCCTTGAATTTTTCTCAAGATTTCTAGAAAGATATTTTTAGCATCCTTTTTTTCTGATACTGATGCCCACACCACAGATTTGAAGTGCTCTTTGATATCTGGATGATTGCTGAGTTTTGCAGCTAGGGTGGTTTTCCCAGAACCTACTGTACCCACAATGTATAGGACATGTATTGTGTTTCCTTTCCGAACTATTTTCTCTACCAGAGAATTGATCTCTTTTGATAAGCCAATTAGTTTATGGGGATGGTTGGTGGTTGGGTGTTTATCATCCGAAGATCTCTGCCTTTGGTCTGTTGATTTCTCTTTTGGTTCCAAAACATAGGATTCCTCTGTCTTTTTTTGCCCGGTCCAATTTCTTTTTTATGCCTTCAATTTTCCGGATGTCTATCTGAAAGCACGATTGGCAGGCATATTTTTTAAAAAAGCCAAGTCTTCCACTATGTTCATATGCGGCCTTGCTGACAATATTATCAATCACATCTTCGGATTCATGGGCTATGTCCACGAGAAACCTGCGTGCATAAACACGTTTAGATATTACAATTTTCTGGACTCTGACGAGTGTTATTTGATTTTCAGTTTTTGTTGACATACCTTCTGAGATTGCTACAACTTCCTCTGCTTTCAGATGTCACTTTGTAGATGACGTTTTCAATGTTGTTCTCATAATTGTTAAATGTTGCTGTGAGCAGTCTGTTTTCATCTGGATGATCAAGGTATCTTCTAAGATTCTCGATTATTGACAGCAACTCTTCAAACATATCCTTAACAGGTTCCAAGGTCTCTGATTCCTGATTAAGTAATGAGTGAATGCGCCTAACAGCAACTGTAACAGTGGGCTCTGACATTTGGATTCTCTCTCCTCCTCTCTATTTTGATTGCAGAAGTTCTGTTATGCAGCCCTAGGATCTAAAGTTTTTGTTCCCTGTCTATGGCTGTCACAAGCCCAGGAAGAAGGGATGTACTGTCTTTGTCCTATGTCTCAAGCAAAGGTAAGTAAGTTTCCTCTGCTTTGCAATATGCTATCTTTACTTTGCATTTAGACTTTAGACATGTAGTGTCCGAATAGGAAAAGCCAAAAGCAAAAGGAAGGCATAAAGTCATAAATTTCCTTATGATAGAAGAATTGAAGACTAAGACTTGCTTTTTAGACACTATATGGATATGTTTTTGCTTCTTTTTTAGATTGTTTTCGTTCAAGGAATATCCTTTAGCAAGAAAGCTGTGCTCTCCCAAAAAAAAAGGAAAAATTAATTTAGATATAAATTAAAATAATACAAGTTCAAGAAATTAACTGTTTGACATTTAGATAGCATATTGCATACTGCAAAGCTTTGTTCAGCTCAACTTATTTGGAATTTATTTATATTATCAGAATTTATTCACTGTAGTAGACTGTATTTACATGTAGCAGAATTAATATGCGAGTATGTCAGAACTTATTTCACTTAAGCATAACTTTTTTGTTCTTTTTTTTGAACTTATATACGCTTGTATGAAATTATTTGTGAACAATAAATTGAAAAATATAGACCCTAGAAATGAAGTTTTATTGACATCATGAGTACACAAGTATTCTTTGGATGATTACTGGAGTAAATAGAAAAGTTGTCTGTTTGTGTAATTGGAATAGTAGGTTAAGTAATCGTCCAACCCTTGAAGTTTTCTCGTCAGGTGCTTTAATGAAAAAAGAAAGAAAAAAATCTGTTATTAAAACCAATTGCACCTACATTATGTGACAACAATATAGACAAAATGTATAATGTTTTCTTCTATTATCTAACGACCCTAACTTATCAGGTTCTAAATGGGTTTAATGAAACTGTTTACCTTCTACAAATGCTCCTCCTGCATTATAAGTCCTCCTCCCTCTCAGGTTTTTCTAATCTCATAATATATTCAGTACATTCCTGGGTCCTGGATCCCGAACACACTTCCTTTCACCCTAATACTTAGTAGTAAGTTGAATGATTTTGGCAGAATTCTTTGAAAGTGTATTGGAAGGACCTTTGATATAAAGGAAGCTGTATGTGCTAACAAAACATAGATTTTCATGTTGAGCTGCTAAATTTTTGTATGAAACTGTCTGATTGTGAGACTAGGGTGAATTGTACATTTCTGGGCGAACTTTTCAATGTCTCGCAATAAATTAGTGTGATCTGGTCTCACCTTTGGTCGAATTATGTGAAGCCAAGACAGACTTTCTATGTCTGACTTGATCTTGCTAGTTGAAAAGGTAGAAGCTAGTTTTGAGTTTTGACTTTCTAACCCTCCCTCAGAAAGACAAACTAAATAAAACAAGGCGAGAATGATTCCAACTGAACTTCCCTAGAAAAGAAAGTAAGTGAAAAAGAAAAGATTCCCATGAATCCCATTTGCATCACTTATGTTATGTAAGAAAAGTAGAAAACCAACTAAGAAAGCAAAGCTAATGAACTGTGCACAAGTTTTGCTATTCAAGGATCTTCTCTTTACGTTTTCATTGTCCTTTACATCATTAATTTGTATAGGCTCAAATAACCTATATTCATCTGTAAAAGTACGCCTCCCAATGATTGGTTGATTATTAGTCCATTTTCTTTGCCACTGGACATCTTCCCCCCCCCCCCCCCCCCCCTCATTCTTCTTCAATTTTGGTTCTGTTCTTTTATAACTTAACTTGCCATGTCAAATCAATTTGTTGATTATTAGCCCATTTTCTTTGCTATTGAACATTTTTCCCCTCAGTCTTCCAAGAATTTTGTTCTGTTCTTTGATAACTTAAACTAGCCATGTTAAATCAATCAAATTCTCAATCTCATGTTAGCATGTCAGGTTTGTCCGAGCTTGCTCACTCGGATAGACCCCTAACCTTCTCTGACATCATGGACTTAGTGATACCTAAATTACTTGATATTACTGCTTCCACACACATTAACTATAGTGAGATGCAATTGAGGCGGTTAAATAAATTCAGGATGGATTTGGAGCATATTAATGACCATTTCAAGAGGCTCAAGGCCTTGGAACAGCATGCTGAAAAGATTTTTAAAGCTCTCTTGCAACAGGTAGTGGATTCGGAAGATGCTGTATCTAGACTATTTATTGATGATTCAATGTACTGGCAGCTTGAAGAAAACCTTACAAGGATCAAGAGGCGCATGCCTTCCACTACTTTTGGTCGTCTTTTAACTGGATTCAAAGATCCTAAGCCTCGGGGTCATGAACATGAAGAGGAGCACAGAAAATTGGCAATTTATCCCTCTGGCCTGAACCCCTTTTTTGAGAGTCCTGCTGTTTTTAGGCGGCTAACTCAAAGTTATGAGCTGCTTGATCCTTTACTTAAGAAATGCTTACTGTGTTTCTCAGCATTCCCAGAGGGTGTTGAGGTCAATAAGAGGACAGTCATCTATTGGTGGATTGGAGAGCAGCTGGTTGATCCACCGACCGTTGATGATGGTGAGAAGAAGGGGCATGATATATTGAGAATGCTAGTTGAGCATGGCTTTCTCGAGGAAGTTATTATAAAGGGTAGGGTGACAAGTAGATGCAGGCTTCGTCCTTCTATTTATCCGGTTTTAATTTACCTTGCTCAGGCTGCTGGTTTTTTTTATCATCCCGATGACAGGGAATATAATGATAATAATCTGAGCTATGGAAACAAGCGTAGGGTATATTTAGTAGAAACATCAAATCCAACATCCTCTTCCTGCTTGAAGTACCTAAAAAGTAGCAGGACCAAAGACCTTAAGTGCATAGAAACACTGTTTAATGTAAACAAGTGCTACATGGATATAAAGCTCCACTGGTTCTGGAGGATGAAAAATGTGAAAGCTCTCTATCTGGGGAGGTGCGATTCAAAGTCCATCCAATACATTGAAGTGAAGTCCAGTAAGTTCCTTGCAGGACTGAAGCATATGGAGGGGTTGAGGCTTTTGAGTCTTCAGGGGGTGTCAAAGATCGTAAAACTCCCAGATTCAGTTGGTAAAGTTAAAAGTCTAAGAATTTTGGATCTTAGAGACTGCAATGACATGGAGGAATTGCCTGACTCTATCAAGTCGCTTGGGAAACTAACACACCTGGACTTGACAGGCTGTTACTCTCTTGCTTGCTTGCCCAAAGGAATATCCTCCCTCTTCGAGCTTCAAGTCTTGAAAGGATTTTTTTTCAGAGAGAAGCACCAAGATAAGAGAAGTTTATGCTCGTTTCAAGATCTAAAGAGGCTGAAGAAGTTGAGGAAACTGAACATCACCACAAGTCTTGAGAGTTTCCCAGATTATAAACACCTTGAAGCTCTTGGTGAGATGACTGAGCTTCGCAAGCTGACAATCGAATGGCAAGGGTTGTTCAAGGAAGGAACTACCAAGAGGTCCAAGACCGAGCATAAAGATGTTGGTAATTTCTTTGGGGGTCTGGGTCTGGAGAAACTTGACCATAAAGATCTTGGCAATTTCTTGGGGGGTCTGGAGAAACTTGACCTCCAACACATCCCATACAAATGTGCACCAGCATGGCTGACACCTGAAAAGTTGAAAAATTTGAAAAAACTGTACATTAGAGGAGGTAAACTAGAAAAACTGGGTGATGAGGAGCAGCATCTAGGGTGGGAAGTAGAAACATTGCAATTGCTGCACTTGCCCGGACTGAGCATGACATGGACTGTACTACAGGGGTGGTTTCCAAAGCTTAGGTACTTGGAACAAGTTAAATGCGATAAACTTACTTCCATCCCGTGTAATATTGAGGGCGTTTGGCAAAAACTCCCATAGGAGATACATCCATATTCTTTAGCACAATGCTATGGGATTCTACATAGTTGGCCATTGATTTTATTTTCCTACTCTGTTGGGGGCGACTGAGAGGGTGTTTAGGAAGAGGAATAGATACAATGTAAGTATGTAACATACTTCTCTCTTTAGTTTAAAGAGCCGATAATAATCTGGGTTTCCTTGGCTTTTAGTTTTAGGTTGTACTAAAATTGAGTAGCTTATTGATAAGCTTATATTAATGCTAGTATAGGGTATAATATATATTATGGTTCTTGTTTTCCTATTTTGTAGATCCAAAATGTTGTTTTTGTTATTTGATAGTATGTAAAGGCTATTAATACTCTCACTCTCTCTCTTTTTTTTTTATTATTTTTTTTTTTATATCTTTATTCACCACACTCCCTAACTCACCCTTGAATTTTGCACTTGTCTTGTACTTTTTCCACTTTCTCTCTCTAACTTTTGCATATGATTGTATTTTTTACTTTTATTAATTTACTTCATTCATTTTTCTCCTCCTATTTCTTAAATACTATGAAAAAACACAAACAATAACTATATTATGGGATTTATATTGTAAGACTCAATTAATTATAATTAGTGAATTATACTCATAATAAGCTCGTTTTAAGAATTAATCAATAATTTTGATTTCCTTGTATTTTTACAGTGGTTATATCCTAGAAGTAATAGTGGGTTGAAAAAAAACCCACTAACACAATAACCCCAAAAAGATGCGAAGAGGCAGCCGCATAAGAGGCAGAGAACACGGGAAGGAGACGAACACGCAGAGGGGAGGACAAAGCAGCAGCAAGACCCGTGACTGGACCGAGCATTAAGCAGCGTCCAACTACTGAAAGTGGAGTTTTATCTTCTCTATTTAAGTTTATGCAATTAACAATGTTAATTATTATTGATTGTGTTTTCTTAACTGTGATGTTTGGCTAGATTTCCTTGTTTTAATTTCTATCAATGAATTGAATTATTTGTTTGGGTTTGATTTTTATAATTGCAATTTAATAATCTTGTTTTATTTCGTATGATTCATTTGGCCAATTGATTGTATGTTTAAGGTATTGATTTAATTTATTAGTGGGAGTGAACTTTCAATACTAGTTTGTGGGATTACCAAACGTTGAGTAGTATAATTTTAGGAATAGTTATACACTTGGGGTGGTTTTATTGATTTCCTATTCTTAATGAGTTTATTTCAATTGTTGTGATCACGGGATCGGAGTAGACATAATATTGATTTAAATATACGTTTTCTACCTTGGGAGAGGAGATTACGTACTTAGTACTTGACAAAACCCGAAACCTAGAACTATTTCTTATTCGTGTTTGTCGTTTTTATTAGTTTGCAACTTTAATCATTTATAGTTTTAGCAGTACTTTTCTCATATTTTTTCGTAGTCGAAATAATATTTAAGTTTCTTAATTTGGTAATTGAGTAGATCTCCTTGTGAATACGATACCTTGCTCACCCTATTTTACATTAATTGACTTGTACACGTGCCCGACCACTTTTCAAACTGTTTGCTTCATTTATTTACAGTGAAATAACAAGCAATTATTTTGTAAACATGTCAGATGTCAATTTGAAATTAATCTCATTTGTCACAGGACACTCAAATTTGGAGTCTCTACAAATGCTGGACAGGCTGGTTAGTGAAGCCCTGAGAATAGATATCTTAAAAATTCCCTTATCTTTGTCTGAGCAACACGTTAAACTAGCCTAGATACTGCAAGATCGTCATCATGTACAAAGCTGAATTCACATCTTTGGAAGCAAATATGAAAAGTAAATGCCCGGTATGCAACTTCATTTTGAGGGAGGTGACTGAATTGAGGTGCTGTAACATAATCTGGCATATAGTGGATGATTGTTGGTGGGATCTAGATGATTGAATGTTGAGTTGTTGGGAGGAAAAAGTTCGGTGGCAGGAAGTTCCTGCGCTCTGATGTTCTGTCTTTTATTCTTCATGGGCCAACATAAACCGGCTGGTGGGCTAATTGGCTGGTGCGACTGCCTTGGGCTGTGCCACCCGAAGGCTGAAGCTTGCTGGCATAGCCGCACAGCCCACCGCCATGCTTATATGCATAATCTGGTGTTTATTTTAAGAGTATGCATGTGTTTCACCTGAGGAAGGTGTTAATGTGGGACATAATATTATTCTGTGAAATACATTCTGCAATAGACTTTTTTCTCTACCCAAAAAAGGCAAAGAAATGTGTAGGATGTTGCACATTGGGGAAGTAACTCATTAGGAAAGTATTCTCAAAAAATTCTCTACCTCCCTAGTAAGTAAAATAATCGGTACTTTATATGCCTTGAAAAATTGAATGAGAATTAGATAATTTATTCTTTGCCCAAGCTTTTACACTCCCTTGTAAACAATATACTTACTTTTCTGAACAAGTCTTTCTTTTTCCACCTGAGAGTCTGAGATACTGTGAATGTCGCTGTGAGGGGTTGGTTATGAAATTTACTGTAGTTCAATTTTTGAAGGGACTATGGAAAACCTGGGACATTCAGATGTTTGTTATGTTGAGCCTTATCCTACAGATAATCTTAATCTCGTTTGCTCCTTTAAGAAAGAGAGTGTCCCAGCAAATCCTGCATTCACTTATTTGGCTGGCTTACTTGTTGGCTGATTGGGCGGCTGCCTTCACCATCGGGCTCATCCAGTATAAAGGCTGCAATGATGGTGAGAAAGTTACCAAGGACACATTGTTCTCATTCTGGGCCCCGTTCTTAGTCGTGCACCTTGGTGGGCCTGACACGATTACTGCCTTAACCATGGAGGACAACGAGCTGTGGCGTCATCACCTCCTGCAATTTGTTGCTCAGTCTGTTGCTACCTGTAATATATTGTACCACAACCCCCCACCAGATCCTCTGCTGTGGCTGCCAACAGCTCTTATTTTCGTGTGTGGTTTGATCAAGTATGCAGAACGCATTTGGGCTCTTTACCAGGCTAGTCTGGACACGTTTCGTCGTTCCATCCTCAGGGATCCAGATCCAGGGCCCAATTATGCCAGAAGTATGGCCTGAAGGTAAAAGATGGCTTCAGCACAAGGATAGAGACTGTTTTAGAGCCTGAATTTAAGCACGATCACTGTAATTCTGAGGTTAGGCAAAAGAGTGGACTACAAGGTGTTCAGGTGGTGAAAAAAGCCTACCGTCTCTACCAGAGGTTCAAAGGTTTGATTGTTGATTTCGAATACAGCTTCCGGGAGCGCCACAAGAGCTTACATTATTTTCTCAGGCATGGCTCTGAATTCTTATACAAGTTTGTTGATTTCAGTATATAGTGCCTTATTTGTTTCAATGATTTTTGCTGCACATGCATGAATTCTGTTTGTGATAGAATAAGTTAATTTAAATTGTGTTAATTGGTTTAGGGCTTGATCTTATGTTTTTTCCCATAACAATTTATATTAAGATATGCTTGATTAATGATTAAAGTTGTCTGTTCGTGCTTGTGTGTGTTCTTAGAAGTTAGAATGGTGCTTCCAGTCCAGAGCTTGTTCAATGTTGTGTGCGTATGATTGAGCTCATTTTTTAGCTGAATGAAATACACACTGATTTTTTTTGTTTTTACTCGTATATTATTTTCATTGGTTTGTTTATTCGTCTTCAGCTTGGAAGAAGATGATGCCTTCAGGGTAGTAGAGATAGAGCTCAACTTCCTCTACGATGCCTTTTATACCAAGGCGAGCATTTTACATCAACGTACTGCGTATTGTTTACGTTGCTGCTGCCTCAGTTTTGGCTTAATATCTTTTGGATTCTTCTTCTTTTGGGATAAGTTTCGCGACAGGTCAAAGAAATCGCACATTAAACCTCGAGATGTCAACATTTCCTACACCTTACTTGGTGGTGTAGTTGCCTTGGACTTCATTTCAGTTCTGGTACTGATCTTCTCTAATTGGACTGTTGCCTACCTGGTAAAGGATTACAAAAAAACCAAGAGAATTAGTTTTTCGGACGCTATCACACACAAGGTGCTCACTTTCAGGAGTAGGTACTTGTCCGCCTTCCCTGAGGCGCCTCGAGTTTCACAGTTCATTTTCCGTCCTTGGTCCAACTCTATCTGTAGGTTCAGCCTATTGGAATACTATCTCAACATTCGGGGCTCGAAGACCAACAAGCTCCTTGACATTTTGGGCCTTAGGATGTTATTTGATGATTATAAGTATGTTGATACATATGCGCTGAAGCAGAACATGAAGAAACTAATCTTCCAGGAACTCAAAAAAAAGTCCGAAAACATTGATGAACCGAAGATGGCCAAGTACCTCTGCCGTGTCCGTGGGGACTGGGTTCTTAATTCTTATGGTAAGATAATCTTCTAATTATAGTTCTATAATCTTAATTCCAAACTTATCTCAGCTGTAAGCTTAGCTTAGCTCGCGATCATGTTACCTGAGTTTCCATAATTCTAAAATTGCTTCCCAGCTGCATGAGGGTGGAAACTATGAAAGTAAAAGAGTGAATTTTCTGTTAATTTGAGCTATAATTGAATTTTGACCGAGGTTAACATGTATGTATATAATTTGTTCTAGCTACAGATACGTCAGTCTATAGCAAAGAGGTGTTGGAACTCAATAATTGGATTAAGGAGGTTGATTATGGTGAAAGTTTGCTCTTATGGCATATAGCTACTGAGATCTGCTACAGTATGGACAGGTTTCGGTACAGTGCAGACCGTGTCATGAGCAAGGTACTTTCAGATTACATGGTGTACCTGCTGGTGATGAAGCCGATGATGATGTCCAATGTGGCAGGGATTAGTGACCTCAGGCTTAAAGACACAGAGGCTGAGGCGTTAAGGTACATTCAGGGCATCAAAGATAAGAACGAGGTCAGTAGCCCGCTCCCTCCACTGGACTTGTTGTGCCGAAGCATGATGAGTATACCGGTAGTTGATAATGTCAAACCAAGAGATGTGAAGGGGAGGAGCAAGTCGGTGTTGTTCGAGGCATGTCGATTGGCAAAGAAGCTAATGACATTTTCTGAACAGGTGAATAAGTGGGAGTTGATGAGTAGGGTTTGGGTGGAATTGCTTTGCCATGCTGCTTCCCAGTGTAGGCCAACCAACCATGTTCAGCAGGTAAGTAAAGGCGGAGAGCTTATTTCTGTGGTTTGGTTATTGATGACACATCTTGGATTAGGGGAAAAAATCTACCTCGAAGCTAGACCCACAAAGCCCGTGCTCATCGTAGATGAGTAAATCACTACATATCTATCTTGGCCGGAAATAAAGGTGGGGGTCCAAGATTTGAACCTCAAACCCGAAACTAACCACTATTTCCCAATATTTAAAAAGTATAATAAGGTTGATTAAGTATTCATAAAAATAGAAACAGGGCAAGGCCTCCATACGGCCCCCCCTTTTTTTTTTTTTTTTTCCGGATTTTGGTGCACACATCCAGTTGCAATGTACTCCAACCTAATCTTTTGAAGGTTCGATCTTTGTCAAGTCTTTCCATGCTATGATTTGTTGTATCCTGACATTGATACAACTATGTTTGAAAAGCATCTGATAACACAACTTAAATTGATATCCTTTTTTTCTTTACGATTTATTATTTGAAATTTACGCTAATTACATTTATTTGTCTGAGAATTATTTTTTGATAATATTTGTGGTAGGAAGAACAGTCATATGAAGTTATTCATTGTGACAATTCATGAGTAGTCAACTAATACACTAATCAGTTGTTCATTCCAGTACTCTATTCAAGATTTGCCTATTGAGCTTGGTCAAAATATGTGCTGGCAACAAAAGAATATAAATCGCTATGTTATTCCATGAAAACAGGCAGCAAGAAATCAAGAATTGTGGAAACAAGTTTATACAAGAAGTTTTCTTTCATAGCTTATTCTTCGTATGAATACCAATTAAATAAATCAATCATATTGTCTAGCTATATTTGAAGATTTATTTTCTTTGACCACCAATGTTCATTTAAGAAAGACTACATTAACAAGAAACATGACTTGGAAAATATGCATACAATTTTAAAGTCATAATTCCTACTTTTAAGGTCTACGCGGCTTAAACTTCAATAGTACACTGTTTCATAGTAGATATACATCTGTCTTTTGATCATTGTAGAACGTAAAAGAGACGCTCCTTATTAATTACTGTTGAAACCCATTGTAACCCACTTGTGAGTGTCCCACATTGGAGAAAGAGGAGAGGTGGTTCCACTTTATAAGGTAGAGGAGTTACTCCTACTATTGCCAATTGGTTTTAGTATAGAAGCTCCAAAGCCTTATTATTAAATACTATCTCAGTTCGTTTAACATTATATGTAAGTGTAACAATTGGATATTTTTTGTGACACATAAGATATTCAATTGTTGCACATAACGTGAAATAAAGGTATTAAAAAATCAACTCAAAGCATTACAAATTGTATAACTTGGGTGCATTTAAAATTATAAAATTTGTTTCATCTTGTAAGTAACAAGTAGAGTGCCGAATTAAGTAATCCCTTCATTGCCTAGTATATCATACTAATTAATTAATGTAGGTCTTCGATTTAACAGTAAATACACCAAGAATAATCTTATTGTAACATCGTAATATACTTGTATGATGAAGAAATACTAGCTACTTAAATACGTTACTCAATCTATGCACCAAAAAAGAATATATATACCCCTATGCTACTCCATGAAAACAAGCGAAAAAAAATGGAGGAATATATGAAAATGTTCATAGAAAATACCAGTTTTTATAATGAGATAGTGTTACCTAAAAAGCTTTGTATTTTATTACCACATTTCTTGAGCTCTTGGCTTCGAACAACACTTTGTGCATTTGTGATCTATCCAACAGCTTCATTTTTCTGCCTCGACTTTTGGAAACGCTATGTTTCTTCCTCTAAAGGTACACTCCTACGCATTAGCAACTTTTTGATTGTAAAAACTTATATGTAACGACTAACGAGTGTATTGTTCTTTGAGTTTAATACTATGCATGTATTCAATTTAAATTACGTATCTTTCAGCTTTGTAAAGAGGTGATTCTTATATATTGGATGATTAAACATGTTGCATACTACACATACATGAATATGATACGTACTTAACTTTATTGTAAGTCTGTAACTGTTAGTATTACATTTTTTTTAGATGGTTATGTAGAAACGATGCCTTCAAAAAGAGCTATGGTATCACAAGTAGTTGGAGCACTAACATCGATTCCAATTAACACATTGTTTTCGACGGTGTTCGAGTGGATGATTGAGAATGGTTGGACGAGATGTTACCCTCGGATTAGTGATGTGGGGTGGCAATCTTATGTGTTACATACACTTACATATCTGTTTGCCGTGGAATTTGGGATTTATTGGGCTCACAGATTATTACATGAGATCAAGCCAATTTACAAGTATATTCATGCACCTCATCATTGTTATAGTAAGGAAATCGCACTTTCTCCTTTTGCAGGTAAGCTATTTACTTTAAATTAATTCCAATTCCATACGTACTTCCATTCTGTCAAGTAATAAATTAAATTAAATTGTGACGGTTAAAATAGTATAATAATGATGTGATGTATATGTATCAGGTTGGTCTGGTCACCCTTTGGATGGAGCAATATTAGAAACTCCTTATGGTTTAATACTAATGTTTATGCCTATACATTTCACCACTTTATTGGTGCTTTTTCTTGTCGAAGCAGTATGGGGTGTTATTATACATGACAGGAGTGACGCAAAAGGTTGGCTTATTATGGGTTCTAATTATCATACCATTCACCATACGTCAGGCCATCACAATTATGGTAATTATACCATTTTAATGGATTGGTTATTTGGGACTCTTCGCCACCCTAAGAGTACTGCCAATGATTATAATACTCATTTGTAATATCAAGAAATTATAAATTTATAAATAATTAAGACTGGCTTACTATCATAAGACCATTTTGTAGATGAAGCCAAGAAGAGGCAAGAGAAATTGAAAAGGGTACACATGCTTGCAATAACTCGCGAAAGTGGTCTTATGATGCTAAATTTTTTTTATCAATAACATTCATGCTTATTAACTCTTCTTGTAGTTTCAAAATGAAATAGTGTGGATTGATTTGTTGATAAATCAAACTCAATTTTGATTAAACTACATTTATAAATATAATACAAGTACTTCAAAACTGGTTCATTGTTATTTTCGTATTTTTGCTCATAATACTTCCTCTGTTCTTATAATATTGCAATTATTGTTATTTGTCAATCATGTGTTGGAGAAGCTATTAAGGCACATGGGTTGTCCATCGACACCTCGCTATAAATACAAAATATATACTCCGTACTTGGTATAATTTTTTTATTTTTTTTATTTTAGAAAGATACTTGTATAGAGTATTCACATACATTTCATAAAAAACAATATCAACACTCTGTCTTATAAATCATGGCTATGACACTTATTACAACGTGCGACCTCGGATTTCATAAATTTGCAATGGATAATTGTTGATTCGTAGAAGGTCATATATGATAAACAAATTGATTACATTGCCATACGTTAGTGTCTACATTGTAGTATTAGTTCACAAAAATGATGAGATAAGAGGAACGTGTGATCCACGATTTTTTCTTAAAAATTCACCAGAGTGGCAAATAAGTCTATTGTCGATTTGTCTGATTATATACCCGACCCATGGTCCATCTGAATTATAGACCATTACATTCATTGTTTTGAATTTTCTATTCTTAAGGTTCAATTTTAATTTTTGTATTCTAATAATGTATATCAAAGAATTTTTTGGTAATTCCCTTTAATTATCATGAATTCAATTCTTACCAATCTAATACTTCCTCCGTTTTTATTTTATTGCACCATTTGGACTTTGACACTATTCACTTAATGTTCTTTGACCATCATTTGTAATTTATCCATTAGGAAAAATATAGTCATGAAAGATTAAGTTAGATTCATCTCGAAATCTTCTTTTCAAATATCAAATTTATATAATTTTTACAAAAGTATAATAGAAGATATTAACAACTAAAGTAATGCATTGGCAAGCTAGCGTGAAATCCCTCATGGTGCAATAAAAAAAAACGGAGGAAGTAGTATCTTTCTTTTTTTTTTTTTGGGAGGAGAAATGTAAAGCTAGTATTAATTCAAAGAGAGATTATCCATAAGTACATATATACAGAGCGATTTTATAAGGGAAAAAGTGTTCCCACACTCGTTTTGACTCCGAAAGAAACTAGTTACTACGTATATAGCTTAGCAAGGTGATGAGCCACAAAATTGCAATGTCAAAACGTACTTATTAAAGGCCTTCAAAACAATTATTATTTTCCCATCTTATTAGAGCTTGTTTGTGAGAAATCATATGATAAAGTTAAGTTTCAAATTGAATTTCTTTCTTTCTTCACTTACTAAATTTTTTATATGTTGGGGCAAATTATGGCTACAAAAGTTTTTGCATGCATCCATGTAAATTAATTTTAATATATAGCCCGTTATTGTATACCAAAAATTATCCCGTAAAAAAAAAAAAAAAGTTATCCTTAATTTTATATTTATAAGAGTAACCTTTATTACTTGGTTACATTATTACCTTTAAAGTATGTTTCTCAGTTACTTTTATTCTCAAATAATTACCTTTAAACTATCAAGAGATGCCCATAGTGTCACAAATTTTCTTCCCGTCACACAGTAAATTAATGTACTCCCAATTTTTTTTTGTAATAACTTTTTTATTATCGTTAATCCTATTAATTGATCATTGATATGAATAACAACTTAGATAAATGATACAATTAAATGACCTCAAATTAATACCAATGACAAGATCAAATACATGTTTTGAACCAACAAAAAAATCAAGATCTATATCTCCAATCCTCCATGCTATAAACTCTATAATTCAAATAAGTTTGCTGCTCCATTGTCACGCAAAAAGAGTCAAAAACAGAAATAACTTTTAGAAACGTAGAAGTGCTAATTAGACTGCTACTTTAAAAACCCTCTCTAAATATCACGAGCTAGCAATTGTCAGATGTTGACTTTCCATAAATAAAAATAAGTGTTTAATCCATGTAAATATGTAATGTGATTTTGTTTTGTTTTGTTTTTTTTAATGAAAGGTATGTAATGTGAATTTAGAATCGCTAAAGTTGCAATTCGAGGGACCTCGTGTATCTATGAATGAATCTTTGCGCGCGATGATGCTAGCGCACGTCTATGTCAAAATTGGTTGGCATATATGATAATTTCCTCTCTTATACGGTTTTGTCAATTTCATCTTGAAAGGAAATATAAAAATGAAATGGACTGTAGAATTAATCATTTTATATGGACCATTAAATTTTCATTTTTTAAGGTATCGAGATTTAATTTGTCATATGACTCATATCCTTTCTTCTTGTACTTCCTACATTCACATGTAGATATTAATAACATAGTATGGAGCAATTGTATTAAAATATTTTGTCATAAACTATTGTATATTCTGTCCGTCCGATATTATAATTCCTGTTTTCTATTTTGGAGAATCAAAATGTTGTTACTTTTTCTTTGTTTGAATAGTATATAAAGACCATTATACCCTTACTTTTTTAACTTTATTCATTGTACTTTTTAATTTACTCTTAAATTTTGCACATGCTTTGTACTTTTTTCCACTTTCTTTTTCTAACTCTTTGTTTTTTTTTTTCACTTTTATTAATGTACTTTATCCATTTTCTCCTCTTATTTCTTAAATACCGTGAAAAAACACAAACCGAAACTATATTATGGGACGGAGGAATACTATTTTATTATTATTATTATTATTATTATTATTATTATTATTATTATTATTATTATTATATTTTTTATTTTATATATATGTGTGTGTGTTTCTGTAAGAAAATATAACTTACAAAAGACATAACCAACTACTATAAGTCTAAAACATTGAATATAAATATGAAAAGTTACGAAGATACCATTATTTGTGGATTATTTCACTTATCACCAATGTTAAGATGAAATTGTGTTGGAATATATAGGTCATTATCTTCATCGTTGTGCTCTTAGCTCTTACAATAGCAATCTTAAGAGCACGTATTGCTTTAATTTCTTATTGACTTTGATAATTCTCTTATTTTATCTTTTTAATGTGGAGTACATTGATTCATAAATTAACTTTAACTATATTTTATTTTACTCTGCGTTTCTATAGTAAACATAACCCATGTTTTATTCTACATTACGTCTTTTTGTATAATTGTATGTTATACTACGTATTTTTTAACATGGGTAAAATAAAATATTGTTATTTCTTACACACTATATAAAGTTTGTTGTTACAATAATAAAACTCGTACGGAGTAGTATTGTAGTAAAAATTACAAAAAAAAAAAAAATTAAAAATCATCCTTCTACATTTTCACCCTCAATTCCTTTTAATTTTCCTTTGGCATGTTACACGATGTTAAAGTATTATCGGTGTCACGTTTTGAATTGTATGACACTGTCAATAGACAAAAGTTTTTGTTTTTGGACAACAGCAGCCAAAAAAAAGAAGAGGAGAGTTTTGGAACCTTTGTGTTAAAGGAACAAAAGATCTTTTAGTTTGTTGTAAATTCTCTTATGGAGTATTCCATAATTTATTACTCCGTAATAACATTACTCCATTCATTGTACGCCGCTGTTTTACTTTTGTATAACTCGGTTACTCCTTTTATTGGTTTAGGGCTTGTTCTGATTTATTGAACTGATTAAGGTTGAATTGAATTGAAAGACATTAGAAACTGAACTGAAATTAGGAACATATTGGAGTTAAACTGAACTAAACTAAAATTAAACTAAAGAGAACAGACCCTTAGTGTATCACTTTAATTGGACATGTAGACTACTCCCAGCCAAGCACGCTTAACTATGGAGTATTCTTAGCATATGAGCTCCTTAAAAGAAAGATGCATTTTGTTGATAGGAGTAGTATATCAAATCCTTTTTAAGGCAATCATGAGGGGTATTATAGATATGATAAAACTATACGTCGATAGATTTCAAACAAATACTCATGTCACCATATTTTTTTTTAATAAATTCACTAATACAGGGTAAAATGAAATTTGTAACGTAAAAAGGTCAACTATATATCTATATTTATATATTAACATACATTTTCAAGAATGTCTATGTGCACATAGAACCCTTTCATCACACTGTCATCTACTCAACCTCTCATTATGCAACATCACAACTCAATCTAAGCTAACCTTTTATTAGAATGGTGGTTATTCAACCATTCAAGTTAATTATCAATCATATTATAAACAAGAATATAAATGTATATAATTACAAGATCTAATTACTAAAAAAAAATAGACATAAATATTAAATACATACAATCATAATATTTAATTAAATTAGCAACTCGATACACCTCTCGGATCACACATCAATAAAAGCTTGAAAGTAGACAGCCTACACACAACTCAACTTTTGAGTACACTATAGGTTCCACCGCTGCACTTGTAATAATGTAGGGCATAAATGTGATAAATGTCATAAATCAAATCAACCAAAAATCCATTCACATGAGCAAACATTATTCAATCAAAATCTAAATAACTGCATTGACTAAAGAGTTTAATAATGTTTAGTCAACGAACTCATCACCTAAATAAACCTAACATCATGCCAGCTACACAATTATCATTAATGATAATGACCGAAACATTCAATTTAATACTCCTCCATTTCCACTATTACATCTCTAAGTTAATATTCTTCTGGTCGTGTTAATTAAAATACGGATTTAATTAATAATTTTATTTATATGAATTTGATCGAATCTCGATTATCTGTCACTCCGTTGTGACTACTCCGCTCGCCATAAGTCTAAACAAACGCATTAAACATGTTGGATATAAATGAGACCCAGCAATGAAATAGAAACCCCATACACATCAATACATCATATGATAGTTCTAGTTTGTAGCTTTGAAAAATACAACAAAACAATATAGATAATGGAGGTCCAGTATGAGAGAGAAGTAGAAGAAGTGATTGGTGTAGATTTACAGACAAGAAGAAGGTCATCAAATTCTCACCTTTCAAAAAAAACCAATATTATTACTAGTGATTTAAGTGACACTAGTAATTTTGAGTATTCTGTAAGTATGGAAAATACTAATAAAATTACTAGTAATAATAAAAATGGTACTATTATTATTACAAATGGTGAAAAACCCAAAATTATTGAGGGTAGATCTGCTGGTGAAGAGAAATTGGCCAACTTTGATGAGCATAATGTAGCTCAAAATGAAGGTAGACCCACTTTTTTCTTCCTGCTTGTATTAATTTTGCAAGTCAACTTATATATATACATTTTTCTTAATATTTTTTATATGGGTTCTGAGGTAAATGCTTCAGAAACTTGAGAATTTAGCTCAATTTTGGATTTATTCATAATTTTTAGTATTACCCAGTTCCAAAAATTTAAACTTTTTACTTCAAGAATTATAGAGTAAGAAATTTGACAATTGGTTATGTGAGTGAAGTTGTGGTGACTGTCAAATGTCAATACTTAAATTCATGAATTGGGTATTGAATTTATTCCATTTTTTGGTGCATTTGTTGATAAATTTTGTAATCAGTTTAAAGTATATGGTAGATTCGTATCTGTAATTCTTTTTCTTTCTTTTTTTGGGTTAAGAAAGAAATCAGAATCTGTTAAAGATTGCAGATACCCAACATAATTTTCTCAAGAAATTTGTATTTTAAATGAATTATTATATTGTTTATGTTTAATATTGGCTTAGTTTTGAAAAGATTTTGATTGCTTATTGTCTGCAGACACCAATGGATTCACTGTAAATCCTAATGGGGGTCATGCTGATAAATTCTCTCTTCCAGAGAACAATGGAGGAGATAGGGAAACCGATATCGAATCAAATACTTCTAGTGTCACTAAGAACCCAGAAATTTCTTCTGGCCTCAGATTTGTGTTGGATGATAGTTCAAATGGGGACAATGTCAAGTCGTCTGAGTTTTATAATGGTGAAAACATGGTGAACAAAACTCAAGTTATAAGTGATCAGAATGAAATTGTTGAAACAGGTCAATCTCAAGAAGTTGAGCCAGAGATAGATGAATATGAAGTTGAGAGGGTGATAAGAAAGCAGGAAACACATGACTTAATTTGTCCTAATTGTAGAGAATGTATAACCAAAAGAGTCATACTTAAAAGGAGGAAACGTACATACGCTAAAATTTCCGAAGATGAGCCAAATATTGGCCGAATTCCCCATCCTATAGATCCTGATACAGACAAAGGAAAGCCAGAAAATAAACTTCCTTCAGGTGAACAGGCTAGTGACAGTATTGATGCCGTTTCGTGCTTTTCATGCTTCAGCATTTTTGTTCCGAAAGGTAGATTTTCTTACTCTCCTCAACAGATACTCTTTTTTTTTAGCTACTTTGGTGATTCTGCAGCATTTCTTTGTTCTGCTTGTATTTCTGTTGATTGAAGTTCCTGTCTCAAGCCATGGTGCTGAAAGCTAGTAAATATAGTAACTAAATGGATTAATAAGCTAATTGTGGACTGAAGTTGAGACGTCGATTAGTCTGATATTTCCCCTTTAATTTCCAAGTACACATTGGCCTTTTTGTGAAGTAGGGTTCATATTATAGTGTCAACTCTATCCGACCACCATTATCAGACATGTAACCCATAACTTTTAACTAAGAAATTCATTTGTGATCACTGTCAAACTGACTCAATTCTAACCACTGCCTTTGACTTAACAGGAGATGGGTTTTTATGCTGGAGATTCAAGCCTAAGTCAACTGTTACTCTGCAGCCAGGTAAACTTTTTCTCAAATCCCTTGGCGAATTAAAGTGGATGGTGATTATTGCCCTAAATTGTTGCCAATTTTCTTGAGATTGTTATTGTACCCTAATACTACCATAACCTGGAGTTGTTGCCTAATACCATAACCTTCTTACACAATCACGCTGTTTGTTGTCTTAACAAATTAACTTAAGTCTAAGTTAAAGGCATGCGAGTTCCCCATGGAGTATTTTCACTAATAAAATACTTTTTTGGTTGATTCAAAAAAGCTTTTGATAAAAATGAGAAGTTGTTATTCCCTATATTTTGAGCAATCTATCAAGGTAAAAAGATACAATCTACACTTCTGCAATGTAAGCTGAAGATTAGTATGGTATCCTGACGATATCCCTTGACACTATACCTTAATGGAGCCATACCTTCAGGAAGACAATACATCTAGATTAAAGATTCGGAAATTGGGATAAAAGTGGCAATTAGATACTATTATTATTGATGAACTGAGCATCATTGTTCAATGGGATTGCAGGCCAATCAGTTGACACATCAGCCGGCTCCATGGATTCAGCAGCTCAACTAAAAGAGGATGAGACAGGTATACATGATAGATGAAATCATAGAAATGCATTCTTTTCTTCTTCTAGATCAAACTTTCTGCTTTAAGTTTAAACTTATTATACACTCCGTTTTTTCTTGAACAACTTCAAATATTGAGCTCTAACTTCTAACCATCTCTTCCTAATGGCAGGAAGAGTATTTCCTATGTGGATCCTGACTTGTTGTCAACCATCCCACACAGAGAGGCCAGGTTTGAATTCAAAACCTTTAGCTATCAAATAAACATGCATGATTGATTCCTCCTAAGCTTAGTGTTGCATTCTTCGACCCGAAGAATTTCAATATCAAGCTTATAGTTTGGTTCACAGTTGTAAGGACTTTTGATTTCCCTTTTCTTTTCTGACATTTCTATCTTATGCTTTCGAGCCAATAGGGAAGCCTGAACCAAAACCTTCACCAACTTCAGAAAGTGGTACGTTTCTTCTCCGTACTGAATCTGACATAATTACCAGTTCTTAGTAACGCTGATTGTGACATGTTTTTCTGTTCAGGTAAAAAAGTCCCAAGCGAACTTCCTTCACCGCCACCATCTCAAGGTAAACTCCATCTCTCTTAACAAAAGAAATGTCATTTCTCTGTGCAGACAAAAAATGTTTTGGTCCTCAAGTTGTGACAGTCAAATTCCCAATTAGCAGTACGTATTTTCCATTCCACAGTTAAGACTCGTAAACGAGTCCCTCTCAGATATGCTGTGCAGATACATCAGTAATGCTGGATACATTATTTCCCTTGTCCTCTTTCTTCAGTTATTTGTACATGATCTTATTTCATATTTTGTGGTGTAAGCTGTTAAGAGGCTTATAGATTTTTCATTCTGTAATACTGCAGAATTACCTGTTTCTAACAAACCTGGTGAAGTACCTGAAGGTAAAATTTTCTTGTCAGTTAGTTGCGGATCTAGTTACCAGCTATAATTGATAGGATGTAAAGCTTTATTTCTTTTCCATGCAGAAACCCAGCCACCACCCACACCTGTATCTCCAGTAACATCTGACAGAGGTGGCTCTCTCTCTCCCTCTCTCACACACTCGCTTGCCTTCTGTTTTGTACCTTCTAATGTTGAAGATGTTAATGTTCTTACGTGTAACAAATTTTGACCTTTCTTTGCAGATAAAGACTTTTCACTGTGGTTTTTGACCTGCTGTCAACCTTCCACTGAAGGATTAAAACCAGACCATGCACCAATTACCGGTACATCATATATTTCAATCCTTTTATTTCATCAAACAAAAGATATACAAGTACATTATGTCAGTAATCTTTTAATATGTGGGTGGCATATATGGCTTAATAATTAAAAAGTCAATTTGGAAGGATGCTCATTGTCAATTATTTTTTAGTACAGTGTACTTAAGCTGAAAGCATGGCCTTTTCATTTCTGAATTAGCAGTCATGTTGAGTAGATTGCAGGATTAAATCCTTCCTAGCCTGATTGTTGAATGTTTCTACTGTGCAGATACAAAAGTTCCAATACATGAGAGTAGTTCTCCTGCTCCAGCTGATGGTTAATATCTTCCCATTGATCTGTTTGAGAGAATTTCCTCTTCTTCCTCATCCTACTCACTTAGTAGTTTCCAGTTACTAAAAACCATAGTGGACTATTTATTATTTTTGGCAAGTCTAGCTTCCCCTGTTAAATTTCAGACTCTAAGCTCTACGGAGCTGATTCCGTATATTTTTATAATGATGCAGACACACCATTGGTGCTTAAGCCCTGCACTCCTATAAACCCTGGTGATGGTAACTCCCTCCTCCAGTCCTCCCTGTAGTGTGCCTAATTACCAGCAGTAAAACAGGCTTTAAAAGCAAGAAGCTAACATCTGAAACTATAATATCAACCGCACCATTGATGCTTAAGCCTCAAATCAACCCTTCCCATCCCCTTCTCTTTCATCAATTAGTAGCATGATGTAATATCGAGTTACAAGTTACTAGGAGGCTTATTGATTTCTTTTGTATGATAAAGCAGAAACAGCGTTATCATCTGAACCCTTGACTCACTTAACAGTTAACACCTGTCACTGGAACCCATCTTGTCCCTCTCTATCCAATCAGCAGTGGTATCCAGATCTTGAATATTTAGTATAACAGGCTTATTGTGATTTCTTTGTTATGCAGGAGCCCCTGTAACAGTTGACAGACAACCTCTTGTAGCACCTGAAGGAAGTACTTCTTGTGATAGTGTAGTTACACCAGTGCCTCTCAAGCCAAAACCTGGTAAAGGACCTTATTCTCCATGTCTTGTGTCTCCAATTAGTTAATAGTGTAATTTAGTTTTGAGTTACAAATTATAAATCACACCTACTCACTTATTGTTATTTTCGCTTATATAGATGGAGGGTTACCAATACTAGCTAAGCCTGTACCTCACATAATACCCGATGACAGTATGTCTTTTCTCTCTAGTCATTAAATGTCATTATTCAATTTCTTCTTTAACCTTTTGTGAAACTTATTGTTATATTCCTTCTGTTGTGATGCAGGTATCCCATCGCCACCAGACCTAAAGGCCCCTGATACTTCTAAGCAAGGTATTTCTCTCTCTATCTCACTCTCTGCACGTGTTACATGTGTTTCTTTTCTTAAAGCTAAGGTGTGAAAGAAAGCTCCTATTTTACCATGATTCTGCTTATGTGATCGTATCCCAGGAATCCTAGTACCATGCTGTATCATTCCACTATTGTGGAGGATTTTGATAAGTATTACTGGGATATGTTAATATGCCATATATTGTCTTTGCTGTCACAACTTTGGCTGAAAGACTCTTGACTCAAATTCACAATAACGCAGAGTATGTGATCGTGCCAATTGTTCCTCAACCCTCACCGATCGATGGAATAAGGCCTACAACAGGCATCGAGGAACCTCTCGTTATACGTCAACCTGAACATCCTAGACCTGGATTTTCTGGAATAGATATAATCAAAGCCATTGTCTATGGTGGTCTCTTGGAATGCATCACCAGCCTAAGTGTCGTAAGTTCTGCTGCAGGCGGTGATGCCACCACATGTGAGTCTTCTGCCTCAAAACTACTTACTATTCCATTCTATTGTCAGTATATATGCATAAAACAGCTTCAGAAATACAGTGGTTGCATGAGATCTACATGTGTAGAGTGTAGAAGCTATATACAATTATTTGGTATTTTACATTACATCGCGCCTTTAATTATATTCAAATAAAGCAAAGTAATTGCAGATATCGTTAGTTAAAAGTTTTATGATATCATGCAGCATATATTCTGTTGTTAGACGAACTATACCCCTCACTCCCCCCCCCCCCCCCCCCCAAAAAAAAAAAAAAAAAAAAAAAAATTCAGAATCTCAAAAGCCTTTTATTGTGTATTCCTAATAAATTTCCTTTCAAATTTGATGTACCCACTGCTTTTCTTTAGTAAATTAAAATAATGAAGCTACTTTGACTCCTTTTCAGTTTAAACTTGAAAGTATTATTCTTTCTGTTTATTTCATCCTTTTATTCAACCCGGACATATATTTAGAGTCAGATGCTGCTTCATCATCACGAAATAATAACCTTGCCCTATATGTTTGCAGTGAATATTGTAGCTTTGGGACTCGCAAACGTCTTTGGAGGACTTGTTCTTCTTCTTCATAATGTAAGTGCCATTTCAGCTTAATGCCAGATTATTATCAATGGTATTTCGACTTTTAGTCTACAACTAAATCAACATATATTATTCTGGCCACCACTTTATGGCCAGAAGTTTGGCTTTTCATGTAGTTGTAAATTCTCATTTGATCCCCAATCCTTAGTAATCATCTTTTGGCAATTTTTTGTAGGGTAAATAAATCATTTACCATTTTCTTGTCTATACTAGTGTGCCATGTATGCTGGCCAAAAAATGCTTTAGGCTGAATATGCCAAAGAAATTGTTAGTGCAGATTTGCTAAAAGAAAAATTAATCAAGAGAATTAATCGTCATAATGCAGGGGTGAATCTTACAGTAAAATAAAACACGGTAGTATATTAACTGAAGTAAATAATAAAAAGGTCTTCATTATAGAAAAGATATAATGATCCTCCTCTATTAATGACACTATGATAACATAATTCCTCCTTTGTGACTTCACTATGCAGCTAAGAGTGCTGAGACATGAGCATGCAACGGAACGCTATATAGATCAATTGGGGTCACCAGGGCACTTTAAGGTGCATGCAGTTATTGCTGTATTATCTTACCTTGTTTTTGGCCTTATGTCTCCTATCATCTATGGCTTTGCCTTCCGCTTGAGTGACAACAGGGACTACAAACTCGCTTCACTTGCAGCTGCTGCACTTGTTTGCATCGCCATTCTTTCTATAGCAAAAGCATATGCCCGAAGTCCTCCAAAGGGATACATGCAAACTATCTTCTATTACATTGGTGTTGGATTTTCGGTCTCTGGGGCTGGATATGCTGCCGGTCATCTCATAAACGAACTACTGAAGAAGCTCGGTATTTTTGACCCTAAGGCTCCTGTTGCGATGTCTTTGTTTGAAGCAGGAGCCATGAAGGGGGCATGGTCATCTTATTGATCACTATTCGTATCCGAGAGTTATTTGTTGATTTACTAGAAATCAAAAGAGGGTGACTGAGGGATGATGCTTGATCTCTGCATCTGTAATTATATATTACTTGAATCTTAGCTTAGGCTTCTACTCTTGTAGAGAGCACAATAATGATAATATATAGTCTATCTTTTCTCGAGCTTCTATGGTTAAACTTTGTACTCCCTCCGTCCCTATTTGATAGTCACTTATTCCATTTTTGGTGTCTCAAAATGTTAGTCACATTAGCTTTTTTCAAGTACCCTTAATTAATTTTTTACCAAAAACTCTTCAATTTGCATAAATATTTGTGCAAATTTAACTTTCCCATTTAAATTTTGCTTTCCCACGTACTTTAATTACTTTTTCTCTCTACTTTTTTGCATACCCAATGTAAATTTACTTTTTTAATGTACTTTTGCTACTTCTTATTCATGTTTATTAATTCTCGTGAGAATTGCCCAAAAGTGACTATCAAATAGGGACGGAGGGAGTACTTCTTTTGAAATGATGCATCTAGTATTCCTGTCAAAGAGATTGCAAAGTACTCTCTAGTTCCACTGGAATCGTCCCGTAGGAGAATTGTTACTTTTTAAAGTTTTGGTCGGATAAAGTTGACGACAGAGAAAATTGGTGAAACCAAAGTAATGTATGTGAGATCAAAGTAATGGGGCACTCCGTATGCATGGGTATGGTGATAAACTTCACGATACATCTAAAATAGTATATTGTAATATGGAGCAATTCCAATGGGACGGAGTTAATTTAACAAAGTTGATGGAATGTGTTTTCCGTGACTTCTCTCATTAATTGTCAAAATAATACAAGTACGCGAACGGAACCTATGAAATAGTAACAATAAAAAGGAGTGAGGCTAGAGGGAGTATAATATACATAAACACATTATTTGTTTATCACTATCACCAACCTTTTAGTTTTAATTACCTAAGACATTAAAAGTTGGGACAATAATGTAAATCAAACATATTATCTGATAAAGATCATATGTGGTCCAATTTCTACAGCATACAACCTTCTGAGAAATAGAATGTGTATACATCATTGTGAGAAATAAATAGTCCAAGTAAAGGCAGCAATGCCAAAAGAATCTGTTTTTTGAGTTAGCCAAAATAATTAATACACGATGTTATATCATTTTTTTCCTTGTATGTAGAGAGGCACAAAGGGTAGCGATATTAATGATATGGATGATATTTGAATTCGATCCTATAGATACCACTTTCTGATCGGGATATTTAATCAATTGAACTAATTGACATCTATTTACTATGATATTATACTGTGTTTGACTATCTAAGAAAAATCGAAGTTATATTAGGTAGAAAAAAAAGAGGAAGGGAGAGGACTTTCACATTAAAAAAAAAAGAAAAAAAAAAAGGTGATTTAATTGGTCTAACAATATAGAACTCAATTTCCATTTAAGTATCACAAATGTCAATCATGTGAGTTTGTTGCAAGCATGAATACCAAAACCAATATTATTAGTAATGGTGAAAAATCTCGAATTTTCGAAAGCGGGTTAACTAATGAAGAATCTATCATCCCTCCTATTGTTAAAGGAGGAAGCTTTAAGGAACACAAGATGGAAGAAACATACACAAATGCAGCTCAAAATGCAGGTACACTCACTTTTCCTTTTAAATTCTAACATGGCAAGTCAACTCTAGTTCTTTCAATGGTACATACCAATATTTGTGTTGTTCTTTCAATGTTCGAGGCTTTAAAAGCATGTGTGCTATACACGTGAGGATTCTCTCCGATTACTAGACCATCTTGTTACACTAATAAACGAAGAAATTATAAATGGACTGCCTTACACAAATGAATGTAACAGTAGTGATTTAAAAATGTAACATGATCATATTATCATATGTTAAATATTGAAGTTAACATATTATATGTAGCTTTTACATTTTGTTTCAGAAAAACAGATTAGAAAAAATATTTTTGGTAATGCTCTTTTTGTTTTTGTTTGATTGGCAGATATCAGAGAATGCTCAATTCAGAATCAGAATAATGTGTTAGCAAAAAAATTCGACGTAAATGGGGTGATAAAGAAACAGAAGATACATGACTATATGAGCTGTGCTACATGTAACTCATATATTACGAAAAGGGTCTCTTCACATGGAAGAGTAATTTCCACAGAACCAGAAGTAGCGCGATTTTATGAGAAGAAGGTGATAAATGAGCAGGAAATTCATAATTTTTGCTGTTCTAGTTGTAACTCATATATTGCTAAGAAAATCATCTTGCACAGAAGAGATATTGTTCCTGATGAAAGGGCCATCAGTCCACAACCAGGTAATTTATACATCACTAAAATGTCATTATTTATGTTTATAAAGTTTGTAAGGCTAAATGTAATGCATTCACTTTCTCTGTCCGGAATTAATAGTTACACCGTCCATAATTAGGAATGATTCACCTTTGATATTGCTAAAATGTTTTTATACCATCTTCTTTCAATTCCTTATGTAAGTGTGTGTGTTCGAAAGCAATCTATGTTACATTAGAAAATATGACAATTTTTTCTGATATCCCATAATAGTATACGTGACAATCAATTCTAATAAGAGAAAGTAGTTTTCAGAACAATAACCAAGAACTGTTCTATTCTTTACTAGTGAAATAAAACGTCGAACCCATTATTGTTCTATTACAATGACAAATTAGGACATGTCCAGCACTTAGAAACTAGCTTTTCAGAAATCTTATAAAATGGAAGATTTGGTCATAAGAAGAGCACTTCAAAAGGGAAGATTATTTAAGAGCTAAGAAGCTTTTATATACTTTGTACTTGATTTGAACAATCAACAATAACTATAAAGAAGCTGTCACATATAAATCTTTAATTTGAAAAAAAATATACAATTTTCCCTTAATCATTGTTTGATATTTAATTATTTCTCTTTTTGTAAAGTATTTTTTTCCAATCAAACACATAAAAAGAATAGAATAATTGACAATGAAATAACACCTAGAAAAGTAAACAACCTTTTTAATTTAAGATCTTTGACCCAAGTTTCTACAATATTGCAGGACAAATGATTGTGCAAATGCCTGATGTTATAGAGCATAATTCACTTGAAGCTCCTACTCCTGAAGTGTCTCGGTTGGACATAATCAAAGCCGTTGTGTATGGTGGCCTTGTTCAATCCATAACTAGCTTATGTGTCGTAGTTTCTGCAGCGGGTGGAGATGCTTCCACATGTGAGTTTTCTCATCAATTCTGCCTGAACTCCTGCTATGTTATAGATTGGTTTCAGTGATGTTTTTAGTTTTATACTATACTTAAATACATATAAATTGAAGTTATATAGCCTTATTCTGTTCAGAAGTATCAATATTTTGGAAATTTCTTCTTCAAAGATTTGTTATATGATCCAGCATCATTTAGTTACAGAGTTACAGGCGTTACTGACAGATTTTCCAATAATTTTTCTGTTGCCAATGATGTGAAATGTCAGAATGTGTTACATAAACATAATATTTCCTTGGTATTATGCAGAAACTATTCCAAATTTCTGACAGATAACGCCGTCTGAAACAGTGCACTGTATTACTTGATCTTGAAAAGGAAATATTGCATGCTGTCAAATTATTTCGGCTAAAAAAACTGCACGCTTGTTATTGTGTTAAACTAGATTAGAAGACGCTTACATTCAGGGTTTTTATATTATTATGATGTGTTGCAGTGAATATAGTAGCTTTGGCGCTGGCAAACGTTTTTGGAGGACTTATTGTTCTATCTCATAATGTAAGTTACTTCTTTTTCAAACAGCATCTTACATCAGTAGGTTTTCAATCTAACACTTGACCTGATCTTGCAGCTTAGAGCTCTGAAACAGGAGCAGAACACGGAGCATTATGAACAACAGCTTGGGAGACCAGGGCACTTTCTGCTCCATGCAACAACTGCCATCATGTCTTATCTTGTGTTTGGCCTAATGACTCCAATCATTTACGGGTTTTCTTTCTACAAAAGCGATAACAAGTACCTCAAGCTCGCAGCACTTGCAGGTGTTTCTTTCGTCTGCATCACACTGCTGTCCACAGGAAAGGCGTTTGTCCAAAGGCCTCCAAAGGCATATATGAAGACCGTTTTGTCCTACATCGGTCTTGGCATCATGGTTGCTGGACCTGGATATATAGCAGGTGATCTAGCAAACATGCTTCTTAAGAAGTTTGAAGTGTTTGATTCATCGTCTTCTGGTAGTATGTCTGTGATTGAAGCAAAAGTAGTTAATGGAGCATGGTCATCTTATTGACTAGCATTGGCATTCATTTCTAGGTGTTGTGCCTTGTCAAGTATACAATTGTCGCTGATATATTTTGTAGCTCGCAACAATCAATAATGACATTTCTGCCTCTTAATTGTTTATTATACTGTTACAAAATGAATGTAAAGCAATTTTAAGTTATCATTCAGGCTGTGTTACAATTAAAGGCTTCTTAGTACTTAAATTTACACTGTTGCATCAACCTTTTATCAATTGAGCCTCAAAACTTCAAAAGCATATCACCTTTCCATAATCTTCACTGGTTAACAACCCTGCATCTTTTTCAGTGGGATTGAAAACATATATCGGCTCAAAGCCGTCTTCCATCATTGGAACAACCCGAAACCTCCCCTTGATACCTGCACCAACATTAGAGCTGCCAATTCGGGTAAACGGGTCGGGTTTGGGTTGGATCAACTCGGGTCAGGTTAATTCGGATTAATTCCATAACCTATGCGGGTCGGGTTTGGGTTGGGTCCATGCTTGAGTCGGGTCACGTCGGGTCATACTTCTTTTCGGGTTTGGGTTGGGTTTAGGTCGGGTTAATAACAGGTCGAGTTACATTCGGGTCGGGTGAATAATAGGTCAGGTTTAATTCAAGTTTTCACGAGTTAAAACAGGTTAGGGTAATCTCAGGTTCGAGTTGGGTTCGGTTCAAGTCAATAATTTGCGGGTTAGAATCAGGTCTAGTCATTCTCGAGTTTGAGTCGGGTTCGGTTCAAGTCAATAATTTGCGGATTATAATTAGGTCGATTCATTTTCAAGTCGACTCATTCTTGGGTTCAACTCGGGTTCGGTTCAAATCAATAATTTGCGGGTTATAATCAGGTTGGGTCATTTTCAAGTCGGGTCATTTCCGGATTCAAGTCGGGTTATGTTCAAGTTAATAATTTGCAGGTTACAATCAGATCGGGTCATTTCCAAGTCAGGTCATATTCGGGTTAAACTAACTATAAATAGATAATTATCATTTTTATCAAGCTAATTATTTCCTTTGACTATAATATATATGACAATATACTAGGGAACTATAGTCTATAATTTAGGAAGATAATTATCTCCTTTGACCATACAACAAATATATACTATATTTAACTCTTAAATTTGAGGATCATGCTCCTTTCTTTTGCTGGCCTGGACCGACTTGGTCTTCCTAGAAAAAATGCTTTGATCAACAATAATAAGGTGGTCTAAATTGCATTTAAGGTGATTTAAAATCAGGTCAGGAACAATTTGGGTTGAATTTAGGTCGGGTCAATAACAAGTCGTGTTAATTTCGATTCGGGTTAGTAACAAATCGGGTTGAATTTTTGAGTCGGGTAAGTAATAGGTCTGGTAAAATTCGGGTCGTGTCAATAACAAGTTCGGTTGAATTTGGGTCAGGTCAATAACAAGTCGGGTTGTTGATTTAGGATCGGGTTTGTAACAAGTTGGGTTAAATTCGGGTCGGGTAAGGAATAGGTCGTGTTAGGAACGGGTCGGGCAGATTTCAGGTCAGGTTAGTAACAATTCGGGTTAAATTCAGGTTTTGACGGGTTAAAACGAGTTAGGGTCAATTTCAGTTCAATTCGGGTTGGGTGTAAGTTAATTAAATAAGTCATTGTAAACCGGTAAATCAGAGCAAGTTGTAAACTGGTAAACTGGCCGTGTAAAAGAAAATTGGATGGTTCCACACACCCAATTGGACTCCCGTAGGTTATTAAGAACCATGGTAAACATTTTGGCAATTTTTATTTTCTGGCAAAAAAAAATCAAAAAAAATTCAAAATTGAAGGCTAATATCCACGTTTTTTGAGAAATTTTGGAGGTTTCGGAGCCCGGTGTCGAAAAGTCTTGAGATTTTAGGGAATACATCTGGAGGTCATATAATGAAGTTTGGAACCATATATGATCTTTACATGTTGTCATAAACGTTCGTGGTAGGCTTGATTTAATGAAATCGATGCAAGTTATAAACCGATAAATATGTCGTTTAAAGGCAAATTGGATGGTTGCACCCACCCAATTAAACTTTTGGAATGTATTAGGGACCATGGTAAATATTTTGGCAATTTATATTTCTAAACGAAAAAAAGTCAAAAAATTCCAAAATTGAAGGCTAATATCCACGTTTTTTGAAAATTTTTGGAGGTTTCGGGGACCAGTGTGGAAAGTCTTGATATTCTAGGGGATACATCCGGGGGTCATATAATGCCGTTTGGAGTCATATGTGATCATTATATGTTGTCATAAATGTTCGTTGTATGCTTGAGTAAATGAAATCCGTGCAAGTTGTAAACCGGTAAATTGGTCATTTAAAGGGAAATTGGATGGTTTCACTAACCCAATTAGACTCCATGAGGATATTACGGACCATGGTAAAAATTTCGACAATTTTTATTTTCGCGCGAAAAAAAGTCAAAAAAATTCCAAAATTGAAGACTAATATCCACGTTTTTGAGAAATTTTGGAGATAACGGGGCCCGGTTGCGAAAAGTCTTGAAATTTAAGGAGATACATCTCGGGGTCATATGCCTTTTGGAACCATATATGATCATTATTTTCTGTCATAAATGTTCGTGGTAGGCTTGAGTTAATTAAATCGATTCAAGTTGTAAACCGGTAAATTGGTCGTTTAAAGGCAAATAAGATTGTTCCACCCACCCAATGGGACTCCCAGACGGTATTAGGGATCATGGTAAACATTTCGGAAATTTTTATTTCTGGGCAAAAAAAGTCAAAATTACAAAATTGAAGACTAATTATCCACGCTTTTTGAGAAATTTTTGAGGATTCGGAGCCCGGTGTCGAAAAGTCTTGAAATCATAGGGGATACATCTCGGAGCCATATAATGCCGTTTAGATCCATTTATGATCATTATATGTTGTCATAAATGTTATGTTGTCATAAATGTTCGTGGTAGGCTTGAAATCGGTGCAAGTTGTAAACTGGCAAATTGGTCGTTTAAAGGCAAATTGGATAGTTCAACCCACCCACTTGGACTCTTGGAGAGTATTAGGGACCATGAAAAATATTTCGGCAATTTTTATTTCCGGACAAACAAAAGTCAAAAAATTCCAAAATTAAATACTTATATCCACGCTTTTTGAGAAATTTTAGAAGTTTCAAGGCCCGGTGTCGAAAAGCCTTGAGATTTTTGGGAATACATCTTGGGGTCATATAATGATGTTTGGAACCATATATGACCGCTATATGTGTCATAAATGTTCGTGGTAGGCTTGATTTAATGAAATCGGTGCAAGTTATAAACCGGTAAATAGGTCATTTAAAGGCAAATTGGATGGTTGCACCCACCCAATCGGACTCCCGAAAGGTATTAGGGACCATGGTAAACATTTCAGCAAATATTATTTCCGAGCGAAAAAATACTAAAAATTCCAAAAATAAAAGCTAATATCCACGCTTTTTGAGAAATTTTGGAAGTTTCGGGGCCCAGTATCGAAAAGCCTTGAGATTCTAGGGAATACATCTCAAGGTGATATAATGTCGATTGAAACCATATATGATCATTATTTGTTGTCATAAATGTTCGTGGTAGGCTTGAGTTAATGAAATCGCTGCAAGTTGTAAACCGGTAAATTGGCCATTTAAAGGCAAATTGGATTGTTCCACCCACCTAATTGGACTATCGGAGGGTATTAAGGACAATGGTAAAAATTTCGGCAATTTTTATTTTCGCGCGAAAAAAAGTCAAAATTTTCAGAAATTGAAGGTTAATGTCCATGCTTTTTGAGAAATTTTGGAGGTTTTAGGGCCCGGTGTCGAAAAGTCTTGAGATTTTGGGGAATACATATGGGGTCATATAATGCTATTTGGAACCATATATGATCATTATATGTTGCCATATATGTTCGTGGTAGGCTTGAGTTAATGAAATCGGTGCAAGTTGTAAACCAGGAAATTGGTCGTTTAAAGGCAAATTGGATGGTTCCACCCACCCAATTGGACAGGGGCGGATCTATTTATGTGCATGGTGAGTCACATGATTCACCAGCAAAAAAAAAAAGAAAAAAAAAATTTAAAAAAAAAATATCAAAGAGACCGCCTATCTTCTTTGTTGTTGCTATTGCTACCGCCTACCTGAGTTAGCACTTTGTCAAATTTTTTATTTAAATATCAAAGAGACCAGTTATTTTTTATGCAGACATTGAAATATTTGTTGCGTTGCTTTTTTTTTCATCAAAGAGACCTGTTATATTAATAACAGGTCTCTTAAGTTATTAACTATTTTTTTCTACTCTGTATAATTTTTTAATAATTCTTGTTTCTATTAAGGATCATTGTAAACATTTCAAAAAAATTTGTTTACGGGCAAAAGAAGTAAAAAAAAATCCAAAATTGAAGGCTAAGATCCACGTTTTTGACATATTTTGCAGGTTTCGATGCCCGTCGAAAAGCCTTTAAATTTAAGGAGATACATCTCGGGGTCATATAATGCCGTTTGGAACCATTCATAATCATTATAAGTTGTCATAAATGTTCAAGGAAGGCTCTAGGGAATGAAATCGGTACAAGTTGTAAACCGAAAAATTGGTTGTTTAAAGGCAAATTGGATGATTCCACCCACCCAATTGGACTCCCAGAGGGTATTAGAGACCATTGTAAACATTTCGGAAATTTTTATATCCGGGTGATAAAAGTCAAAAAATTCAAAAATTGAAGGCTTATATCCACGTTTTTTGAGAAATTTTGAAGATTTCGAGTCACGGTGTCTAAAAGCCTTGAGATTTTAGAAAATACATCTCGAGGTCATATAATGACGTTTGGAACCATTTATGATCATTATATGTTGTCTTAAATGTTTGTGGTAAGCTTGAATTAATGAAATCGGTGAAAGTTGTAAATCGGTAAATTGGTCGTTTAAAGACAAATTGGATGGTTCCATCCACCTAATTGGACTCCCATAGGATATTAGAGACCATGGTAAACAATTCGGCAATTATTATTTTCTGGCGAAAAAAATTCAAAAAATTCCAAAATTGAAGTCTAATATCGACACTTTTTAAAAAAAAATTGGAGGTTGCGAGACCTGATGTCGAAGAGTCTTGAAATTCTAGGGGATACATCTCGAGGTCATATAATGCTGTTTTGAACAATATATGATCATTATTTGTAGTCATAAATGTTCGTGGTAGGCTTGAGTTAATGAAATCGGTGCAATTTGTAAACTAGTAAATTGGTCGTTTAAAGGCAAATTGGATAGTTCCACCCACCCCAATTGGACTCTCGGAGGGCATTAGGGACCATGGTAAACATTTCGTCAATTTTTATTTTCGGGCGAAAAAGAATAAAAAAATTCCAAAATTGAAGTCTAATAATATCCGTATTTTTAGAGAAATTTTGAAGGTTTCGGGGCCTGTTGACGAAAAGACTTGAGATTTTAGGGGAAACATTTCGGGTTAATATAATGTCGTTTGGAACAATATATTATCATTATTTGTTGTCATAAATGTTCGTGGTAGGCTTGAGTTAATGAAATCGGTGCAAGTTGTAGACCAGTAAATTGGACGTTTAAAGGCAAATTGGATGGTTCTACACTTCTACCCACCGAATTGGACTCCCGGAGGGTATTAAGGACCATGGTAAACATTTCGGCAATTATTTTTTCCGGGCGAAAAAAGCCAAAAAATTCCATAATTGAAGTCTACCCTTTTTGAGAAATTTGGGATGTTTCAAGACTCGGTGTCGAAAGTTTATAGAATTTATGGGATACATTTCGGGGTAATATGTTGTCTTTTGGAACCATATATGATCATTATATGTTGTCATAAATGTTTGTAGTAGGCTTGAGTTAATTAAATCGGTGCAAGTTGTAAACCGTTAAATTGGTCGTTTATTAGCAAATAGGATGGTTCCACCCACACAATTGGTCTCCCGGAGAATATTAGGGACCATGGTAAAGATTTCGGCAATTTTTATTTCTGGGCGAAAAAAAGTAAAAAAAATACCAGAATTAAAGACTAATATCCATGCTTTTTGAGAAATTTTGGAGATTTCGGGGCCCGGTGTCATAAAGTCTTTAGATTATAGGGGATACATATCGGGGTCATATAATGTCATTTGGAACCATTTATTATCATTATATGTTGTCATAAATGTTTGTGGTAGACTTGAGTTAATGAAATCAACGCAAGTTGTAAACCAATAAATTGGCCGTTTAAAGGCAAATTAGATGGTTCCACTTCCACCCACCCAATAGGACTCCCGGAGGGTATTAGAAACCATGTAAACATTTCGGCAATTTTTATTTTCGGGCGAAAAAAAATAAAAAAATTCCAAAATTGAAGGCTAATATCCACGTTTTTTGAGAAATTTTGGAGGTTTCGGAGTCCGGTGTCGAAAAGCCTTTAGATTATAGGGGATACATTTGGGTATCATATAATTCCATTTGAAACCATATATGATCATTATTTGTTGTCATAAATGTTCGTGGTATGCTTGAGTTAATGAAATCAGTGCAAGTTGTAAACCGGTAAATTGGTCGTTTAAAGGCAAATTGGATGGTTCCACCCATCCAATTGGACTCCCGGAGGGTATTAGTGACCATAGTAAACATTTCGGCAATTTTTATTTTCGGGTGAAATAAAGTCAAAAAATTCCAAAATTAAAGACTAATATTCACGCCTTTTGAAAATTTTTGGAGGTTTCGGGTAGAGCTGTCAATTCGGGTAAATGGGTCGGGTTTGGGTCGGTTAGAGTGGTTCGGGACAATTCGGGTCGGGTCAATTCAGATTAATTCCATAACCTATGCCGGTCGGGTTTGTGTTGGGTCATGCTTTAGTCAGGTCATGTCATGTCATACTTCTTATCGGGTTTTGGTCGGGTTAATAACAATTCGGGTTACATTCGGGTCGGGTGAACAATAGGTCGGGTTTAATTCGGGTTTTCATGGGTTAAAACGAGTTGGGGTTATTCTCAGGTTCGAGTCGGGTTGGGTTCAAGTCAATAATTTGCGGGTTATAATCAGGTCGGGTCATTCTCAGGTTTGAGTCGGGTTCTGTTCAACTCAATAATTTGCGGGTTATAATCTGATCGGTTCATTTTCAAGTCGGGTCATTCTCGGGTTCAAGTCAAGTTCGATTCAAGTTAATAATTTGCGGGTTATAATCAGGTTGGGTCATTTTCAAGTCGGGTTATTCTTGGATTCAAGTCGGGCTATGTTCAAGTCAATAATTTACAGGTTACAATCAGGTCGAATCATTTCCAAGTGAGGTCATATTCGGGTTAAACTAACTATAAATAGATAATTATCATTTTTATCAAGCTAATTATTTCCTTTGACTATAATATATATGACAATATACTAGGGAACTATAGTCTATAATTTAGGAAGATAATTATCTCCTTTGACCATACAACAAATATATACTATATTTAACTCTTAAATTTGAGGATCATGCTCCTTTCTTTTGCTGGCCTGGACCGACTTGGTCTTCCTAGAAAAAATGCTTTGATCAACAATAATAAGGTGGTCTAAATTGCATTTAAGGTGATTTAAAATCAGGTCAGGAACAATTTGGGTTGAATTTAGGTCGGGTCAATAACAAGTCGTGTTTATTTCAAGTTGAGTTAGTAATAGATCGGGTTGAATTTTTGGGTCAAGTTAGTAATAGGTCTGGTAAAATTCGGGTCGGGTCAATAACAAGTCCGGTTGAATTTGGGTCAGGTCAATAACAAGTCGGGTTGATTTCGGGTCGGCTTTGTAATAGGTTGGGTTAAATTCAGGTCGGGTTTGGAACTGGTCGTGTAAAATTCGGCTCAGGTTAGTAACAAGTCGGGTTAAATTCGGGTTTTGACGGGTTAAAACGGGTTTGGGTCAATTTCGGTTCAAGTCGGGTTCAGTTCAGGTCAATAATTTACGGGTTACATTCGGGTCGGGTCATCTCCAGGTTAGTTCATGTTCGGATTTGGATCTCACATACTCGGGTCAACTCGGGTATAGGGTTGGTTTCAGGTCGGGTCAGGTTGGGTTTGGGCCACCATTTTTTCGAGTTCAGATGGGTCGATTAATAATCGGCTTTAAGTCGATATTTCGGGTCGGGTCAACTTTTGACAACTCTAACCAGCATCTTCATTTGCAACTTTGCAAGAATGCCATCTCCTTTCCAAGACAAACCCAAGGTCTAGCTTGAAAAAACAGGTAAGAAAATGGGTCTTGTGGCACAAACTTCCCTTCCCCCTTCTTTTCTAAATCCCCCACTTGTAGCCAATGCTATGGCTGATATGTAGCCCAATCATACTAAGAGAGGATCTCCTAAAGTCCTAATATATAAATAAATATAGCCCAATGAAGGACCGTATAAATTTCATTCTTCCCATAGCATAGGGGGGAGGGGGTTATGATAGCCAATTATCCATTTTCACTTTTATGCCATCTGGCAGTACGCCATCAGTAGTGGCCTCCTTGATGTCTAATCCCACTGGTGGGTATAGAGCCTCATGTAGGGGTGGGAATTCTGGTCAATAGTTCGGGTCAAATTTCGAAACAATTTTGGCTTATGCTTAGAAACTATAAAAATAGTGTAAAACTTAATATTATTATGAAATATGAAATTTGGGTCAAATCAGGTCGAATTTCGGCCCTCATGCTCTCCCACAATGCAGGATGATCGTAATCAATGGTTTTTACTTGTACACTCAAGGCTGACTTCCATTTCAAGTTTAGGATAATGCACTGGTCATTTGGTCGGTGGACACTGGTATCTCAAAAATATGTATGTACCAAATGGAGTTATTAAGAACCTAATAATACGAAGTATAAGTTACTTTCCTAATGTAAGCCACCAAAACTCTGTAGACGCTGATACCAGACAGCTGTTACAATTAAAATGATCATTACAGCAGAGAAACGAACGCGATCAGATCACTTTCATGCCCAGAACCAATAATGCTATGTGATGAAACATTGAAACATACAACGAAAACTGAAATCAGACGATGTATAATGATCAGGAAAAACATAGAAGAAATGGTTATAGTACATATATATCTCGGGGAACAAGGTGAATACAGAATTCCCGATAAATATTACAGCCTGCACGCAGCAATGAACAAAGTGTGGACAAGGGGGAGATCAAAAAAAAGAATGGAAGCAACAGCAGGGCATTATCTGACAAAATTTACAAGCAGCTCTTACATTGCAAAGACAAAATAGCAGGAGGTGGGACCACAAGAAAAAATAATAATAAAATTAAAAATTTAAAGGGTTTATATGTTATCTATGTTCTGCACATTCTATTACCACACAGAAGCTGAGGGAGAACCCATGCACCCCAACTGCAAAATGAAGAAAACTGATCTACACTTGTCAATGGCTTCATATCTGTCGGCTGGGAGGTCGACCAATAAGCCGACATTGTTCAGGGAGCAATGAAGTTATGACTTGTTCATGGACAGGAAAAAGCTCCCCGTCAATCCCACATCCATTATGAGAATGCTTTCCTGGTTTGATCCTGACAGATTTCACCTGCATTCCAACAGAAGACGTTTTAGCACCGCCAAACTGCAGGTTCAATCAATGCTAACTAGAGCACATATTTTATTAAGAGTAAACAATCACACATTCACACCTGTAAGGTCATAAGCTTATAATTCTGTTAACAAGTTATATATGTTAATTTAAAGACCATAATACAGCAACTTGAGGAATGACACCGATTTCATCTAGAAGAGTTTTAACCCTCATGTCAAATAGTCTCAACTACTAAGCCATAACAGGCATATAATTTATGAACTTATAATGTTAAGATGCCCCTCCACTAAATCCTGTCCTCCGCCAGATTGGAGTAGAAGCCAACTTTCATGGAAGCAAGGAAAACATTACAAAAGGAGTAAGAAACAACTATCATCGATGACTTTAAGAAAACATTAGTTAAACAGCCTTTGTGCTTTTTTTTAGAAATAAATAAATCATCCTTCTATATACACATACGTACTTTCTCAAAAAAAAATACACATTATTTATTTATTTATTTATTATTATTATTATTACTTGATGGATGGACATATCATTTACCAATAGCTTCAAAAAGTAAAGATCTTGATAAGGAAAGGACTTCCAACATACCTTCACATACTCAACATACGGCAGGGACAAATGTTGACCAAATTGTAGACGTAAGAAAAATCTCAACAGCCTTAGCCTACCACTTCCGTGTACCAGTAATAGATCTAAGGCATTGTCATCAGGTTCAGCATTCGGTGCCACCACCTGAGTGCTTAAACCTTGAACAGTTTTGCATGAATGGTTGCATACTAAAACACCAAGAAATTGTCCCTTCTTAACCACCCAATTATCTTCAAACCTAGGAGTTACTTCAATCCTTCGATCCTCTTCATCTTCTTCCGGTGGAGGTCCAGGCAATTCAATGCGATTTTCTTCATTCCAGTTAGGCTCGGAGTCCCACTTAGGTTCAGAATCCCAGATTGGACCTGGGTCAGACATTGTGGAAGAAATATCCTCTTTATCTGGTCCGGTATTTCCCCAGGAGCTTCTAGTTGCATCATGTGTGGTGGTCATTCCAGTCCATCCTTTATCTGCCCGTGACTTGGACCTAGTCCTTGGCCAATTCGGAGTGGTTGAAAGTGGAATTTGGGGGTGGATTACTTCAGGTTCCGCCATTTCATTCCTCCTCCCGGAAGAGAGACGTTTTGTTTTAGGATCTAAGCCACGCACATAATCAGATGGCTCAGTGCTGGCACGTGTGCTACTGCCAGTTGTGTCCATATCCACACCTGACATCCTACTAGGGCTCATTATTGAATCAATACTTGACAAACTGGAAGCTCTGGGAAGACGATCTGTATTAGATTTTCTCATAATGTCAGTGTACAGATCAGACATATCAACTACCTCTTGATCAGCTAGAAATTTTCCATCCTCAGGTGCCCCTGTTGATGCTGGAAGGTATTCTACTTCAAAATTGTATTTCGGTAAGCATAAAAACTTTAGAAAACCGGCCACAAAGTAACGCAATGGACCAAATCGCTTTTGGTATTTCTCAGAGAGCTCCAGCACTGAAACAAGGTAAAATTAAGATATGAAAACCTCTCAATTAAAGCACAACATATGATACCAGATAATTGTAAAGAGGAGAGGGTTTGCGCTTTATGCTTCAAGCTGCATCTTCCCGTTTAATATGAACATTCAATCCAATACACATTGAAAGATACCATCATACCAGCAATCTAAAAAAATGTTATCAGCCTACATATAAAGTATAACAAAAAATATTTTTTGAGTAAGAGCAATTTCAAGCAGCATGGACAATTTGCATGTAAACATATTGGCACTTGCCAAAAACAGATGGGGTTATGCAGTTTGCCAACTACTCCGTATTAGGCATAAATATAAAAATGAGCAACATAATTGGGCCAACACTTGAAGAATAATATTAGCACAAAAGGCAAGATCTTCTGAAGGAAAGGCAGGTTCATGAAATTGACATGGCGAAGAAACAAATAAGGGTATCAGTGATAACATGCAAAGCAATTTACAAACAATACAATCTATGAAGTATATACGTAGTAGTTACTAAAATATCCAGGATCTGTAACAAACATCCTAGCTCTTCTTCTGGGGTTGCAATAAGGATTAATTTGCATACTATGATTACTATCTTGTGACAACATGATGGCATACATTTCCTCAAAATCAGTACAACATGTAGAAAGTCCACATCCCAAAATAATTCTTCAGCTTACTGTGAAAGAACAAAAACGTGCACACAATAGCTTTCCAGAATATATACCTAAATAAATACCTCATCCTTTTTTAAATACCTCATCCTCTTTCTTTTAAATAAATACCTGATCCCTTATTTCTTTTTTTTTTTCTTTTTTTTTTTGAGAAGGGGGGGGGGGGGATTCTGAAGACTGAAGGTATACACCTCAGTACCCAAATGCGCATTGTGTCAATAAAACAGATTACAGTCACTTTTTCTAAACAAGGATTTCAGAGAGAGGGGGAGAAAGAGGCGCTTCACTGTTTCAACAATTAAATTGACAACACAGAACTTGCGAGTGTGATTAATTACCATCACTGACAAACCCGAAATATGTGACAGTCGACCCAAAGTGAATTAATCCAGTCTGTATCCATTCAACTGCAAACACATCTGTCGCGGTAAGGCCTCCCTGGAGACAAGCAATATGGGGAAGAAACATAAATATGAGAAATCACACAATAAATGACAAAGCTCTACATTAGTAGTTCAGCAAACTTATTTGAACAAGAACAAGAAAGATTTGGGCATTATATTAGTGACTGTAGAAGGTATAAAGTGACATCCATGTTGATTACAGTAAGTCAGTTGCTCAACAAGAAGAGGGGGTGGGGGAAAGCTGACACTCATAATGACAGTGGAGTTCTGTTCATGGCCATCATGCTAACTCCCCTCATTTTAACAGCTAAAAACAAGAATAAAAGCAGGACTTCCAAAAAATTATTTACCCAGAAAATATAAAATAAAATAAAAACAGGGGAGATAATATATGGCACCGTCTTGCACAGCTATTCTAGTTGTATTTTAAGAATGCAGTTGCAATGTTACAATTGGGAAGACAAAACATCTTCAATTTGCTAATAATAATCAACATCTCTCAGACCATAATTTTCAATACAAACACGCAAGTTTAAATTATACAGTTCAAACTTCAAGTGTACAACGTTCATTACATTTGTCTAGCCTCGAGAAGCTATCACGAATTCATGATAACCTCTGGTGATATGGCATAACGAAGGCTAACCACCAGAATGTGACAGTAATTCAGTGATTTACTCATTTACCAAAGCTAAGCAATGTTAACCCAGCCCTTTCAGGAGACATCCAAACAACCACCTTATACCTTTGGTTCAAAAACCAACATAAAGTGCAGGTGAAAAGAGAGCCTCTGAAAAATGCGCTCAAAAAAGTGTGTCTAATCTATAGGAAGCAACACAACTCCAGAATTTAGTAAAAAGAAAAGAATGATGGAAAGAATAATCCGAATCACAAAAATGAACTCATGCCAGCTTCTTACTTGTTACACAGCATAACATGTCTCAATATATAGCATAGAAGAAATGAAGGGCAGAATCTATACAGTGACCTTAACCTACAGGAATTAAGACCTACATAAAAAGGTTGTAAAATCTGAAATCACAACCACCCCACCCCCAAGGAAAAATAACTTTAAAAAGAAAAAAATAATAACAATCAAGATCACACATACAAATTTTTTTGCACATCAGGAGGCAAAAAAAGTAGCAAAACTCTTAAGAAGCTAATGAATCTTAGTATGAAGTTACAACCCACCTTCACGATTGATATTGCAGCAGAAACAGGATCTCTAACCCCCAAAACAGTCCAAACAAGAGAATTATCAGAACCAGCTGGTATAATTCCAATCGGGATCGAAATGACCTCTTTTTTATCATTCCTACTGAGTAAACCATTTAAAACCTGCACAGTCAATAAGGATTCAAAATTCCCATGCACCCATATGAATCAACAAAATATCTTGATAGCATACAAAATATGTGTTATTGAGCTAATATTGTGCAGTAAAATACCAAATGACCCTTTACCCCAAAAACAGAAGCCTCAAACATAAGCTACTATAAAGTAGCATCATATAGGCCATGTGATACGTGATAGTCAGGACACTACAGAGAAGAAGATTTAAGGCATACCTCGTTAACAATTCCATCACCTCCAACACAAACGATCCCTATCAACAGAAAATAGGATAATGAAATAAAAGAAAAAAAGATGTGAAATGTAAACAAAATGTCCAAATCTTAACAAATACCATCAGGACAAGTGCTAAAGTCAACAGTGGAGGCAAGTTTCTTAGCATGTCCAGCACAAGTTGTTTTAACAACCTCCAGCTTAAAACCTGCAAGCTGAAATAATGACAGCCATGAGCAGATCAAGTACTCTGCATACACATCCAAACAATGATATCAAATATAATAATCCATGGTTATCAACCATTTCATTTGGAAGAAACTTAAAGCACCGCATATTTTTATCGCAAGGGATTAAAACCCAATGACACATAACTCAATCCATATATATTCCAGATGAAAAAAGTAAAACACAAAACCAAATGATAGTCACCATAGAATTAATAGACAGAAAGGAATTTCAATTACCATACCATCTGCAATTAATGTACCCCTAAATCCTAACAGCCCTTCTGATATATTTTTCAATTGTTGTCATTTCATAGAATTTGACGCAAGAACGTATGATAATCAATGCCCTGGTGCTCATAAGTGTGTCAATGGAATATTAGCATACCTTAAATATCGGTTCAACCATTCGATGAAATACTTTACTTGACCGGCCACGTCCAGACCGTGGGTTCAAAATTACAAGCATTCTGGGCGGATTCTTACATTTGATATATGGTTCAAATGGTTCAAAAAATATATCACCAGACTCTGAAGATTGTTTCTTTGAGGATACAAGTGGATGCGGCAAACAATTAATATAACATTGTTGATCTGCAAAGGCATTAACCCATTGAAGTGCCTCATCTGGGTTTGAAGCCAAAAAACGATAATCCTTCCGACATCTTCGAGGTTTCATAAAGCAAGATGGGACAAGTGCATGGTTCTTTATCGGATAGGAGTGCACGGTAAAATGTCTTAGACCAGAGTTATATGATAACTGCAAACAAAAAGGAAGGAAAAAAATATCAATAGGGATTATATAGCTCCAAACTACTACAAGATTTACTGAAGAACAAATGTAAATTAGCTCACCGAAATCACATCTTCCAAGTACAATGTATTTGATCCCCAAACTAGTGCCTTGCTAGTAAGCTTGGCGTCAGTAGCATCCTGGTTTATCGATTCTGTTGAAGTCTGTGCATCAGTACTTTTCTTAGTCTTCCTCTTATCCAAAACTAACTTTCCAGTAAATACATCATATCCTAACAAGTCAGATTGTTCGTCCCCAATGTCAATTCTGTGCTCATCCCTCTTTGCTGTTTGTGGATCATTGCTAGTAGCAAGGACCTCATTTCGACGTGAAGCCTTTCCTTTGCTACGTTTTTCAGGAAACACAACTGGAGAGCAGTGTTGTCCAGTAGCTATATTTGAACAGAAGCTCAAGCGACGGCCAGACTGCTGGGTTGTCACTCTTAACGGATTTTTTGGAATAACTCCAGTATTCTGCATTTTTTTTTTATGGGAAGAAAATATCCCCTCACATAGAAGGCTGCAGTGACCTTCAATTTGAGCAATCAGATACCAAAATCAGACACTCGCCATATACATTCGCATCCAGCAGAAACCCCGTGTACATCAGCTCAAAATCGCTGGTAAACACTGTAAAGAAAGGGATGAAATGAGAGAATTAAGCAAGAATTGAGTCCAGGTGTATACAAATGTCACAAAACTAAGATTTGGACATGACCACGACGAAAAGGCAAAGGCATGTGAAACAGTACAAGAAGCAGTAATTAGAATGTAAAATTAAAAACCAGTTATAGTTGTATTAACAGGGAGAGAAAAAAAAAAAGAAAAAAAAAAGGGACGAGAAGAGGTGGGGGGGCACCAGGAGATAAATTACAAAAGACATCATTATTGCAGTTCCTTATGTACATCAAATCTCCAATCATTGAGGTCAAGAGATCATCAAAACAGGCGAATGAAACTTATGCACTATAATGCTACCAGCCTACCACACTGAGGCTGATGTATTTCTGCTCTGAGTTTCAGTATAAGCATTTAGCCTATTTGATATCGCGTCTTAACTTGTCATATATGGGTTTACTATACAAATTCCTTTCTTCACAGTCAATTCAACAAAAAAAAAATGAGATTCAAATGGCTGACTGGTGTCTAATTATTTTCTTAACTTAAATCTTAATATTTCATGACAAACATGCAAATGTGTATTCTTGGTAATCATCTTATAAAATAAAATAATAAATGTTTTTTATATTATAAGGTTGGATGTCCCAAACTCCATCTTAAATATGTCACTCTCTAGTAGATCTCAATATTCTGACAAAATAAGGGCAGAGACACAGCCTGGCAAATCACATACTTCTACAGAAAATTAAAAAACTTTATATGGCCATTGGCCAGGGTCTAACACTGTTGTTCTAGAGCATGCTACACAAAAAAATGTACATCAATTTTAAACACTAGTGTCATGAAAGATATCAACACAGTAATCTTAATTAAAGTCTACAATTCCTCACACTTCAAAAAGATGTGTATGAACTATGAACTAATCCAAAGACAGAGCACTTGCAACAAGACTCGCTAAAACTACAAATCTTATTAGAATTTAATCTTGAACAGGAGCAACTATCCTAGCTTTATACATAAATTGATAAGTGTAGGCATCGATAAGTGAGCTCAATTTTTGGGCTAAGGTAATGAAAAAATGAAATTGGGCTATGGTTTTATGGATTTTGGGCTAAACAAAGGCATTTAGGCTAAATTAGAAAGGCTTTGGGCTTAGAAAAAAGTCTTAGGACTAAGATAATTGGGAAATTCAAACAATCATTGAATCCATTACGCAACCTAGACCATATTAGCAGATGATGTACATTTCAAAGTAGTTTAAACATTGGGATTAATTTGGGCAGACACAATTTGGTGTCTACAATATGAACAGCTACAAGCAGCCCAAAATTTTTTTAATGATGAAACTCTCAGCAATAACTACAAATAAGTGAAACTTTACTAACCGACACCACCCTCCCCTTTCAGAGAGTTAGCTTTTGAAGCCTGCGAGTTAATATCTAGAAGAGGCTAACATTGAGCGTTTGAGACTAATGAAAACTGAAGAGGATGATGAAGAACTGAAACCAGACAGCTCAGCAAATGCGGATGTCAATGAGGAATCAGCTGGAGTCTTGGATGGACAGAAACAATACTTAAAATTGGAGAATGGACAGAATTCACGTAAATTATACTTGTGATTTGTGATTCAGCTACTAGCTTAGATAGAAATTCAACTATTGGCAAACTGCCTTAACTGCTAAACCAATGGATATTTTCACCAACTAGCTTCTTCAGCATTTTCAAGGTTTTCCTCTTGAGGGCTTAAGGAGCCACATAGTACAGTATAATCGTGGTGGGATTTAAACCAAGGTCAAGAATACAGCCAACACTAACAGCCCTCCCCCGGAAGAATTTAGCAGCTAGTTTAGCTGACATCCCTACTCCGTCAATTCTATGGTTTTATAGCAATTAATCATGTGGCATTCTTAAAATATAAAACTCTAGTTTCTGGCACGGCTGGCAGGGTAGTCAAAGACACATTCAAATCAGCTTGCCATTTCTTATTCTTTTCATGGAAGTTTGAACTAAGAGTTGAAAAGGCAGAAATGCCCATTGATTAACTCTATTGATCAAAATCAATTAAGCAAGATAACAAGTTCGCGATTCCAATTTTGCAAAATAAAGCTAGGTAGATATAGATTAAGCTCACTGCAATACTCAATCCTTAACCCTCAAAACAAAGTCTATAGCTCTCTCTCTAGCTCTCCCTACATTTATACTTGCAACAGGTATTTGCTTTAGCTCTCGCTACATCTAAGAACTACCTTCTATCGTTCGGTACCTGAACCTTGCTCATCTACATCCGGTATATACTAAGCTAAAACCTAAACCTCCTCCCCACCTGCAATTCGCTGTAAAACAAAGCTTAATTCCAAACAAACTAATCACCTGCAATCCACCAATATTGAATTTAGGGAATTTACTAAAATAACAATCCCTAAATTCAAAAATAAATACAAAATCAATCAAGAACCAAAAAAAAAAAAACAGAAATAAAACCCCAAAATTCAAAATTTCCATCAATTACCAGCATTAATGCACACAAAAAACATATAATTAAAAAAAAAATGAACAGAATTAAAGTAAAAAACAAAAAATTGATCAAGATCTTACCTCAAATACCCTTAGATCACACCTCTGAGCTGCCTACCTAAAACACAAACAGTAATTTTCCAAAAAAAAAAATAGAAAATTGATCGAAATCTGATGAACAAAAATTCAAAAAATAATAATTTAATTGAACAGACGATGATAAATGTGGTAGAAAAATGGACGATTTAAAATGAAAAAAAGAATAAAGAGTGAATTGATTTAGGGTTGAAGAGTGAGAGAAGAAAAAAGAGGAGAGAGAAAATTGAAGAGTGGAATAGAAGGAGAAGAAAGAGAATGGTTTTGGGGATATTTGGAGAGAGAAAGTGTAATGGTGTCACTAGTCATTGAGTTGTGCCGTATTTTCTATATTTCTTTTTTTAACTTTATTTATTTATATATATTTATGTATTGTTTTTTTTTTTTTTAAATACAGTAATTAGATGATTTTGTCACAATTGATGTCATTCTTCTTTCTTCTATTTGTTCCATTTTATTTGTCTCATTTTAAATTTTTCGTGTTAAAAAAAAATTGACCATTTAAAATATTGTTAGATTCACTTATTAAGTGTTATATGCAATTTTTATTACTTTGTATGGTATTATGTGCATGAAAATTGGTGTAAAAAGTCAAATCAAACAAAAGGATTGGATTAATAATTAATTATCATTGATAGTTAAATCAATATAAGTTTGTACTTGTATTGATAATTAATTAGGTTAATAGGTGAATGGAAATGAAAGGGAAAAGGGACTCACCCACCAAAAGCTGGCTAACACATTTGAATGTTTGTTTCCTTTTCTTTATTATCTTGCTTTTTTCATTTCCATTATTATTGTGTGTAGAATAGGCTTTTTGTGTTTTTTGGGTAGGGAAAAGTTCTTTGTGAAAATTAGTGCACAAGTAGTATGGTAGGAGTACTTTGCATTTTAGTATGTTATTAAAGTGTTAATAGTGGATTAGGATGAGCTAACTTTATTTAAGCTCTTTTTAATTTAGTTTTATGATTGAATGTTGTCTACTTTGAGCTAAAATGTCTCTAAAGATATTATCAGTGTTAACATGTAGAGTATGACTCGGTTAATAAAAAATTTCGGGCATTAACTTAAATTACGTAGCTCAAGTATATAAACTATGTCTACATTCAAAAACCACTTTTGTTCATCTTTGGAAATTGAATTTGAATTAAAGAGCAATGTTTACATAGATGGAAAAAAACTGCTATATTTCATGATTGGATATGACCCAATTTTCACTCACACCAGCAATACTTATTTTCATAAAAGTGTCACTACTTAAGAAAGATTTGTGTTTAAATTAAATTTGATTGTCTTTGAGCTAGTTCATTCAATATTGTACCAAAATAGCACATAGCCACATAGAGACCAAGTTCAACCTATTTCGTGTTTGGTTGACATTAAAAAAAATATATAGTAATACATAAATAAATAAAATTATTTTATAATTGAAAGCAAAAGGATAAAGTTGTTTGGTTGGTAACCTTATAAAAGTTGTTAAGCCTTGACTCTTTGAGCGGTATTTATTTTATTTTAATTGCTCCCAATCACACAATAATCCCCTATGTTTGAATTGTACATTTGTAACATTATTGTGCTAACCAAATTCTGGCTTAGCAGCAAAGAAAAGAAGTAAAGGAGAAAAGAAAATAAAAGGTGCGCAAAAGGTGGAAGAACCTTTAACCAAAGTATATATCCACAATCCACCCATATATATCCTTATGCAATTTTCCACGTTGATGTTGTTGCACACATGTATTAGCATTATTCTTTTGTTTAGTGCATTATCAAGATTATGAGAACGACTAACTATAAACTAACTTATGGTTCCAATTATTGTACGTGTGTGTTTGAAGTTTGATGATAAGTTTTTTAAAATTTAAAATAAGTAAAATACTAATATGTACATTCTTTGTTGTATTATTTTGAGATTAAAGCTAGTTGCATTAAGTTTGAGATTCATAGTTTATTCAAAATACTCCCTTTGTTTTATATTTATGTCATTTTTTTATAATCGTGGAATACTTTCTAATGCACAATTTACACTCTAATCTCTAACTAAAAATAATAAAACATAAAATTAAAAAAATTCTATCGTAAAATTTTTTCTTGAGGTTTAGTTCACTTATATAAAATTGTTTATGAGTATATCATAACTTATAAACCGAGCTCGAAAGTTAAAATAGGCATATAACTTTTTGAGTTTACATTATTTGTTTAAAACTTTAAATATATTATCACTTCACCCGTCTTAATTTGCTTTTCACATTATTACTTTTATACGTATTTACACAAGATTTCATGCTTATGAAGCCATAAAGCTAGATATATAAATGGGGCAGGGAGTGTGAGTCCCATGATGTTTAGAGCTACTACTTGTTGCTCAAGGTGAATTCAAAGGATAAGAGGGATGAGAATAATTTGGTTGAATTAGAAAGTTGTACGTGTTGCATAAGAAAATACTTGTGGGTGCAATTGTGGTTCAAAGGTTGCCTTTAGTTATAAAAACTAGCCACTAAAATGACTAAACACAAATCTAATATGAAGTATAAGGTATTGGTTAAGTAAAAAAAACATCACTTTATTGTTAGACAAGATTATAGGAAAACGGAGGCAGATGAATTAACAGGATAATACAATGACACTATTCGAGACATGGATTCACAATTCTACACGTGACAAGGTGACTATGTGAGTGAAAGGCCTTGTAACACTTACTCATGCACTATTGCTTCCAACCTTTGAGGTTTCTTAACGAGTGATTTGTAGAAAATAAGGAAGTAGCAAGTCAACCTACGGTGGCAAGGGTGAAGGGTGAAGCTGCTAAAATAATTTCACTAATACTAATGGTCTAACGGAAATACATTTTTTTTTTTTGACAAAGGGAACACAAAAAACAACTTAAAAAACAAAAGAAAGAAGATCTCTACAACGTGCCGCTCCAGCCAGGGAATGAGCCTCCCTAATAGAAGTCCTTGGAACCTTTCGAATAAGGCAGGTAGTAAAATCTGACAAAATGTTCCGAATCTCCTGAATAGTCCAAATTACTGCTATATCCTTCACATCCTGGCACAAAATTAACGTAGAAATAATAGAGCAGTCAGTAAGAAGCAGAAGTCGAGCAAAACCCCGCAGTTGAGCTTGTTGAAGACCAAACAAGCAAGCAAGCAGTTCTGGATGAAGAGCCGACCCAGCAACACAAGCCTTGGCACCTCCAGCCATAGGTTGCATCGAATCGGAAGCACAAAAACACCAACCAGTACCAGCATTGTTAGTCTCCCTATCCCAGGCTCCATCAAAAAGCATAGAAAGCTCACAAATGTCAGTCAGCGCACCACAAAGAACGTAAGTAGTAGAAGGAGATGGAAAACCCGGAGGCCTACCTGTCGAATCAGAAATTAGAATACGAGCATTCTGACTTCTGAGGCTCCAATCAGAGGCCAAAGCTAAGATTGAATTGGGAGAGTAAACCGCAGATCCGAATCTAACATTATTTCTTGTTAACCAAATTGCCCAACAGATTCCAAAGAAATAGTCCAAAATAGACCACAATCTGGCCGATCTAAGCCCAGAGACAATACCCGTAAACAACTCAAGGAAAGGTAGAAGGAAATCAGGAGCAGGAAAAGAACCCCAGTCTATAGAAGGCCATAAAGACCCAATAAAGGGGCAATCACGGAATAAATGATCCTTTGATTCCACCGCATTGTGACAGAAAACACAAGTTAAATCTACAGAAATACCTTTCCTGGATAGCACCTCCATAGAAGGAAGAGCATTGTGAACAATCTTCCAGGCTAACATCTTCCACTTAGGAAGGATTGGTAATCCCCACAGGCGTTTCCACCGGGTAGGAAGAAGCACAGTAACTGGGGAATTAAAGTGTTGATATAAAACATGTAAATAGGCTGATTTTGTGGAAAATCTTCCATCCCGAGTGTATTTCCAGTAAACAAAATCATCAACCGCTTTCGTAGGACGTTCTAAACTCAAAATAGCTGTAGCCACCTGTTGAGGGAAAAGAGAACGAACCTTAGAGGGATTCCAGGAGAAAGAGGAAGGGGCTAAAAGATCTGAAACATAAATAGGTCTATCATTAACTAGAGTCGACTCCTTGAATTCCACTTTAACATTGGGAAGCCAACAATCATTTAAAATACTTATATTATTCCCTGAACCAATCTTCCAAGCAACACCTTTCGAGATATCTAAGGTACCTTCCATAAGCCCTCGACTTCCCCAAGAAGGACGGGCCCCAGAAATGTGAGACCTATGCTGAAGAAGATTCGGATACTTAGCAGATAGAACCCGAGAAGCTAAAAGTTGAGGATTATGTCTCAATCTCCAAGCCTGCTTAGCAAGCAAAGCTATATTAAAGGAATGAAGATGACGGATTCCAAGACCACCTAAACCTTTCGGGAGAAAAACAGAAGCAGCAGGAGCCAAAGCCAGACCCTTGGCAGCTTCCCCAGACTTCCACCAAAACCGCAGAAGAAGAGAATTCAACCTGTCACAAATTGTCGAGGGGATCTTGAACACTAAAAGAATATGGTTAAAAGAAACAATAAAAACCGAGTTTATAACAACCAACTTAGCCGCAGGCGACAGTCTAAGAGAGGAAAATATTGATAATCGCTGAACCAACTTATCAACCATAAATTGAAACTCTTTGCATTTGCTACGACCCATATCCATAGGAAGACCTAAGTAAGTGCCAATGGATGAACAGGCCTTCATCTTTAGAGTGGTTGCGAGGTAATCTCGATAATCATCAGGAGTGTTAGAGCTGAATCTAACAAAGGATTTCTGAAGATTAACCATTTGACCAGAATTCGAACAAAACTCATTTATCACCGAAAGCACATTATCACAAGCCTCAGGAGAAACTTGAAAGAAAAGCAGAGCATCATCTGCAAAAAACAGATGCGAAACCGTAGGAGCCCTTCGAGAAACACGAAGACAACGAAATAAACCTCGGCTTTCATCACGTCGCAGCATTAAAGAAAAAACTTCCATGCATAAAACAAAAAGGTAAGGAGAAAGAGGGTCCCCTTGTCTGAGTCCACATTTAGGAATAAAAGGTTGCGAAGGAGAACCATTAATCAGGAGCTGGTACGAAACCGTAGTAACACATTGTTGTAAAATATGGACCCAATAAGGAGGGAACCCAAACCTCCGCAGAACCTCCCAGAGAAAATCCCAGTTAACCCTATCATAAGCCTTATTCATATCTAGTTTTAAAGCCGCATAACACGTCTTAGATGGTGAAGAAGACATGTATGAAAGTAATTCATGGGCTAGTAACCCATTGTCCGTCATTAACCGACCTGGCACAAAAGCATTCTGAGACTCAGAAATTAGAGATGG